CAAAGCTAATTTGATGAAGCGAAAAATCTGGTTCCTGGATAGTATTTTGTGCGTTTTAGAACCATGAGGTGGAGTCTGTGACACGTTGTATATTTATACATGACTAATTCGCAAAGCGAAGTGAGCATACATTTTGCACCGTAAGTCATTGCAAATACTTTTCGCAATGTTGTGCTTTTATTTTTGGGACTCGAGTCTTCTAAGCCTTCGTTCGAGTCGAGTCGAGTCTTCTGACGAAGGACTCGAGTCGAGTCGAGTCGAGTCATTTGCTCGCAGTGACTCGAGTCGAGTCGAGTCATTTACCCTTAGGGACTCGAGTCGAGTCGAGTCACCAAAAATTGTGACTCGAGTCGGACTCGAGTCGAGTCATTGACTTGAGTCATTACAACTCTGGCTGGTTTGGCTGGTAGGCCTCCATGGTGTATCTACCTCTCTAGAAAAAAAATCAGCTCATTGAAAGAGGCTTACTAGTACAGTAAGTGTGACCAGACTATTGCATAATGATGCTACGCCTACGAGTGTGGTGGCGGCGCTGGCTCATTGCCGTTAGCGCATTTCTGCAGCACATGGCGACATACGGGATGTTGTACAGTTACAGCATTTTATTCGTTAGTCTGCAGAAGGAATTCGACTCCGGGGCTGTCCTGGCTGGTTAGTATCATAATAATAAAATAATAATAATGGAGTCTTATATAGCGCACGTATCTCAAGGCGCTGGAAATTATGTCAATTATTCAAGAAAGGTAAATAAAGTTTATGAGAAATATGAGACCCATTATGTAGCACCTTATAATGGATATCATTCCGAGCTCGCTATCACTGTACATCCACGAAGGCCCCCTTCAATATGGCCAAGGTATTATGCCATCCATTGCAGGGGTGGATCCAGGATTTTCCAAAAGGGGGACGTGAAATGTAACATGCAGCAAATTTGTGAAGGCAAGTTGTGGCGCCTACGCCGAAGGCCATAGCAAAGGAGGGGGCATAATGTGATTTATAGTAATGCGAACTTCATTACTTTGCGCGAAGCCCTAATTACATGAATTTTACGGCCTGAGAGTCTTCCTAAAAAGTACAAAGTTCCTAAAGAGTACAAACAAAAGAGGAACAACAGGACGTCCACGATCGACGGTGGTTTCCGTGTGTGTATGTGGGGGTGTGCGTGTGTATGTGGGGGGGGGGGGGGGGGGCATGTCCCCCGGTCCCCCACCGATTGACGCCCATCCCGAAGGCGTTCCCGTCATGATAGAGGGTTCGGGTGCATGTTAATTCCTGTAATCTACAGCATATTTTACAGCAAAGGTCTTCTCTCGCTCGTCAATGCCTTCTTGTCTCGTCGCGCGCTGTCGCGTCGCAGTTCTTGGTCCCGTCGCTTTTTAATTTGATGAAAAGTATGACGGACCCAGAATAATAATAATGTGCAACTAATCCTAGCAGACGACTGTCCTACGTAATCTCCCCTATTAATTTTGTCTCTCCCTGTGTTTTCTTCTCTTTTTGAGTCTCCCTCTCTATATCTTGCTTTATTTTGCCATCTTCCCCACACTAAAAAAAAAATCATATTTTTATTTCGTAATCCTGGTTAGGATCACGAAATAAAAACATGAATCATCTTTTTTTCTTCTTAATCCTCAGGAGGATTTAAAAACCATGAATTTATTAAAAACATGTGCGGTACACTTTCTTTCAAAAACGGCGTTTCAGTAGAAATCTCAAAATACTGCATTTGAGATATTTCCCAAAATGGAGCCCATTTAAGCTGCTAATTAGAGATGAAGACCTCATTAAAACAAGCCTATACTGAAATGAAGTGTGGGGAAGATGGCAATTATGAAATAAACATATTAATTTAGAAAAGCAATGTGCAGCCTACTTTTTTATCAGAGGCAATCGCGCTGAACACAAAGTAATCGGCTTCGAAAAAACCTTCGAAATGGCTCCTCCTGAAACGACAGGCGCGGATCGCGTAATTTTTATTCCTAGGAGGGTTAGGGGCAATGTCATGAATAATTCATGTTATCCATGAGAACGTACAATGACATCAACAGCACTGTTGTTAGTTACTCAACTAGTTACAATACATTAAAGCATTTTAAAGAACGGTTGTCGTTGAGCTACCACACAGTAGCCTAGTGGATAGCGAGATGAGCTATGGATACAAAGATCCCTGGTTCGAGTCCACGTCGTCGCTGCTCATTTTTCTTCTCCAAATTTATCACTGAGATAATTTTAAATTAAGGGGAAAATAGAACGAGAACCTAAGTCTTGCAACGATTCAAAGGAAAAACTGAATTATTCATGACATTGCCCCTAACCCTCCTAGGAAAAAAAATTACGCGCGCGGATCCAGAGAGAGGGGGGGGGGGGGGGGGGTTCAACCCCCCGGCGCAGCTCTGACACCAAAAACAATTTATGTTCAACACGTCTTTTATCCAGCTTATCATGCTTGAACACCTTTGGATTGTAACTCATGACTGGTTCGAACGCCACTAGGTTTGGTGGGCAATGATTTATAGAACTTACAGAGGTGGTCGCCACAAAAAGTGGAATATCAGGACGCTTGTCCCCTGTTCTTTGTCTAAACCTCTCCGAAGATCTGAATGTGGTGTTCGGGAACAGTAACCTGGTGCAGATCTCCATGACTGGAAATCTCAAATCTCCCTCGCGACTGCGTTTTGCTTTGTGGAATGTACGCTCTATCAAAGCCAAATCAAAGTCTGCTGCTCTTTGTGACTTCGTCATACATCACAACTTAGATGTTCTTGCGATTACGGAAACGTGGCTGACGGGCAATGACCGTGACGATCGTATTATTGCTGACCTCAAGCGGCATTTGCCCAACTTTGGTTTGCATCACGTACGTACCTCGACTAAACGGTCGAGCAGGCGGAGTGGCTATCCTGGTACGACTTGGTGTTCAAACTCAATGAAACACCGAGCTTCACGTCATATGAGTGCATGGATGTACAGCTTACAACATCCTCAACTTCACTACGTCTGTGTGTCATCTACAGACCCCCGCCCAGTAGGAAGAACAAGTTCACACCAATGATGTTTTTGAATGAATGGAGTGCTCATCTCGATGCGGTTGCTATAGATCAATCACGCTTGCTGCTGACAGGTGATTTCAATATTCATGTTGATCGGAAGGATGACCATTTTGCCGTAGCTTTCAGGCACCTTCTGGAGACTCATGATTTAGTGCAGCATGTCGGTGTCCCTACCCATGTCAATGGCCACACCCTCGCAAGGACAACAGCCTGATCCACTCACTATCTACCTGTGACGACCTTCCATCTAATCACCGAGCCGTAAACGCCCTGCTTGATATGTCCCACCCTTAACCAACTACGAAACAAATCAAATGCCATAACATAAACAACACAGATATGGATAGTGTACGACATGACATCAACGATTCATTCCTCCTTCGGCAGCCAGCCGATGGAGTCGATAATCGTGTCAACCAGTACAGGAGCGTTCTTCGAGACATATTAATTGATGATCATGCTCCCCTTGTAAACCGGAACATCGTCCTACGCCCCCATGCCCCATGGTAAACTGAGTCTATTCATGCTGCAAAACGAGAAAAACGCCGAAGAGGGCGCCTTTTTACGCATTCAGGGCTTACCGTTCATAAGCAGTACTACCAGGAACAGTGTGATCTCTAAAACAGTGTGATCTCTAAAACGCTCAGCAATGCCAAATCTTCTTATCATTAACTGGAAATCAAACAGGCTGACCAACATGATCTTTTTCGTGTTGTGAACAAGCTGACGAAACCGAGTCTGGACCCTGTGCTACCTGATCATAGTGATCCAGGCGACTTAGCTGATCGCTATATGGACTTTTATCAGCAGAAGCTGAGTGACCTGGGTGATCAGCTCGTCAGCTTGCCTGATATTGACAAATCAAGATGCGCCAAGCCAAATTGGCAAAAGTAGTGGTCTAGATAACATCCCTGTAGAGGTGCTGAAGAAATGCTACATAGATGACATCACTCTCAAAATGTGTAACCTCGCCCTCATGAAGAATGAAAAAGCTAGAGCAGTGGTCGATGTCAAACATGGTTCCGGTTTGTCCGGTTCCAAAATCAGGCGACCTCTCAAATACTGATAACTATCGAGGAATCAGCCGCACTTGTGTCATTGCTAAACTCTACAATCGCATGATTCTGAACAGGTTAAGAAGTGCCATAGACCCAAAACTCCGTATGGATCAAAATGGCTTCAGGGAAAGGAGGTCCACTGCAGTTCAGTATACTAGCTTTAGGATCATTGAAGAGGCGAAGAAGAACCGTCTCCCTGCCATCGAGGCAAAATGATGGGAATCCTTAAGGCCTATGATGTTTACCGAGGTAAATCTGTCCCATTTCAGGTAAATATGCCAACCCCCCCAACCCCCGTTCAACGTTGTGTCCCCCTGGTATTTGTTCCCGGGCAGCGATATTTTTTCCGTACACAAACATTCGTTATGGGCGTATTTCGAAGTATGTTGAGTTGCAAGTCAGGTTCTCGGACTTTATTTTCTCTTGAAAAAAAAAATCCTCCAAACCACATATTGGTAAAAGAAAAAAAGAAGTAAAGAAGAAGAAATTAAAAAAAAACATCCAATGGGAATCGAACTCACACCATCGGATTTGTAATCCGATGTAGTATCCATGACACTACAGCAGTGACTCGATCGATGTGGTAGTTTTAAACATTATGCTATTGCATAATATTTATGCCCATGTTCATCCAAGTAAATAGGTCAAAAACCGTCCGCCGAGCTCATGAATAAAAAAAAAATACGAGAGCCATGGAATTGTGGGATTGAAGACATATACCACTGCACTGCATCCCTGGCCTGGCCATGTGACTTCCAATTCGGAGTATTGTGGAACCGGAGATTTACTTGGCCTTGTCTAGAAATTGTGTGCAGCGCCCTCAGTAGCCCGAGTCTTGAGTGGCTAGTCGGGTTCTGATGTAAGGTAAATATAATGTGTTAACTTAAGTGAGTAGAGTCTGGGGATCGATCTCACCTTTTCTTGGCGGGTTCGTCGAAAGGATTTCAGGATTTGACGAATCGTGTATTTCTACGTCCTGGCAAAATGCTCCGTTGAATTTGATTCATTTGGGAGGTAATAATTATAGAACAATATGCTGTTGGACAAACGGAGACTTCTCTATAAAACACGGTAATCCTTACCTTTAGGACCCCGTTCCTATATAACTTAACATAACAACTAGAGGTTCGCGTTTTTACAAACGCAGACGGCAGAGTGGTCGGGTAGACAGTCTAGGCCAAGGCCTATTTCATTAGACATTGTCCAGTTAAGTTATGAATATGTTTATGTCAGAAAAAAAGGCTATAACATTTTCAGTACCAATTATTTTGTACAAAAAGAATGCGTCTTTTAGGGTATGATAAATTTCAGTAAACATTTAGGTACACGTACAAGTTTATTTCCGGTTTGATGATGTCATCAGTAATAAAAGGGAACTTGTTTAATAATATCATTAAGTAAAAATAAGATAGTGGATATTTTGCCGAAGGTAATGACGGCAAACTAACGTTTACTAAAGGTTTGCCGGCGGCAATCCATATCAACAGAGGGCGCTGTACTCTTTAAGATAGGGCTGAATTATGTATTAAATTCCCGGTAATCCTTACCTTTAGGACCCCTTTCCTATATAAGGTTAAAGACTCACCAAAACAGCTGACTAAATGACACTCAAAAGTGACATTCTGATATTTCTTGGCACATTTGAACATTTGGCAATGACACCTCTTAAATATCAGCAGGTTTAATTTTGTAGAAAGAGGATAGGGCTTCGATTTATGCGGGGTAAAAGACGACGATGACAAACAGAAAATATATTAAAAAAGCAAGATGGCGAACTGCAAAAAAAGGTAGAATTTAGTCACATTTTCTTTGAAAGTGCTTTCAAAATTACAACTAACATGAGTTTGAAGAAAAAAAGACTGCTTTAGCCTGCAAAAGTCACTTTGGTACTGGACAGTCATCTGCAAAAGTCAGTTTTGAACAGAACTCGTACAAATAGAGGTGTCCTAGAAGTAAGGATTACCAAATTCCCACCAAAAGTTGTGTAGCACGTTTGGCGTAGTGGTTAAGCAAAAGCTCTAGTGAGCGGGATGACTCGAGTTCGATCCCGATCCCCGCCACATTTTAAAGTTTTTTTTTCCCATCCCCAAATAAATAAGAACATTCTTTTTTTATTATTTTAACATGTCTCAAACATTTTATTGCAGAGTATTACATTTTCTTTTTCAGATTTGTGGCTCTGGAGGATTTTTTTTAAAGGGAAATAAAGTCCGAAATTATAAAATGGTCTGAATCCCATCTTGTGCATACGAGGTTACAACGATAATATTGGCATGAAGCCAGACTAAAATTTGTCACCGGAAAATGTTTAAGTACAAAAAAACAGTAACGGCGCATGTTCAGTGCATATCCGGCAAACTAACGTTTACTAAAGGTTTGCCGTCTCCGGCAAAATATCCACTGCCTAAAAATAACGCATGGAAATTAAGTGTATGTAATAATAACACCCAACTTCCGGTTTGATGACGTCACAGTATTTGGAAGCAAAAGGTCAATATTAAGTGTAACAGATGTAATTTTTTTGGGCAAAAAAACAAAGTCACGAGACAGGGATCATATGTTTATGATGGATTTAAATTAAAAATAAAATGATCATTGTTGAAATTTCCTGGAGTAATTGCAGAATACCCCGCCACGCGAAAATTACCCCCTAAAAATAAATGGCTACGCAGTCGGAAAATGTTGCAGAAATGTCCAAAGTACATGTAGATGTCGGGAAGTGGATACGCGGATACAATATACGGGGTGGATTTCAGCGCTGGAGGGTCTAAAGAGGGCGCTATTTCCCTGTATTATTTATGAGAACGAAGCATCCATATATCCATGTTGGAAAATAACGAAGGCAGAGACAACGTGATTTGAATGGGGGGCAGGGGAAAAACGTCCAAGTCCAAAGTAGGTGCCGGGAAGTGGATACGCGGATACGGGGTGGCACACGCGTGTGGTTTTGGTTGAGCATCCAAGCGTGACTCCGTATCCGCGTATCCGGATACGAGGTGGGATAGGTGAGTGGCGGGGTATTCTGCAATTGTGCAGAATTTCCCTACAGAAGCTTCCGGTTGATGAAGTCATGATTATGAAACCTTGCAAATTCAGTTGTGGTTGCTCATGGGATATACATGTAGCCTATTGGGGCAATTTCATAAAAATTGGATTGAGGGTTTTGACATTTTGAGAGATTAAACTATTGTGATGTGCCGCTAGAGGGCGCCCTTTCGTGGGATGACGTCAAAATTATGTTTTTGCGATTGGCATTCCTCACTCAACACTTCCATAATGTATTTGTCTGTAGTAAAATGCTTCCGTTTTAGAGTAAGATTCAATTTCTATTGCACTTCTGGTAATACCGGAAGTAAAGGTCAAGCTGTTTTGTGCCTGGGAATAAGAAATGTTGCCCAAGGCACCGTCTACAACCTCACGAAAAAAATGAACACGATACTCTATTTAGTTCAAGAGATATAGGCCAAACTATTTTGTCAAATTGTGCCATCAAATCGCTTGTAATTTGATACCTGATGACGTCATGATGACGTAACAACTTTTTTAGCATCTTCGTAATATGGTACAAGTTCACACTAGGTTTTATGATCACACCGTAAACCGTTCTGAAGAAATTGTGCTTTGTTTTGATTTCAGGCTAATGTCTTCATTTTGAATTCACCTAACTTTAACCTTCCAGTAGAACCGGAAGTAAAGGTCAAGCGAGTTCACGTACACGACAAAAAATGTTTAATGGTCTATCTGATTACAAGGTTGGAACATAATTGATCATTTTCTTCAAGAGTTATAGGTGTAAGAAGATTGTCATTTTTTTAACGAAAATCGCTTGTAATTTGACACCCGATGACGTCATAATGACGTCAGAGTAATATGCACCACTTAGGATGAGGATCGATATATATTGAAAGTAATGAGTTCCTATCATAAACCGTTTAGGAGAAAACCCGCGGAAAAAAAGAAAAGAAAAACCTGCGGAAACAAAGAAAGAAAGAAAGATTAATCGTAACAAATCCAAAGAGTGGTCGGGTTGTGCCCGACAACTCAATAACATACCAAAACAGCTGACTAAATGGCGATCGTGAACTTTCGGTGAAGTGTAGTCCGAGTAACTAGGACTCTACGGATCATTTTTTTAACATGTGGACGTGGTCGGGCGATAGTAGAGTCAGAAATCGATGGCCCTATTGCGGTTACTAATAATTTTTGTTGGGACCATTTTCACTCGTACCCCCAATCAAAATCATCAGATTTCACCCCCAAAACAGTCTTCAAACTGCCTTATGCGCCCATGTTTGGCCTGTAGGCTTCAGTAGGAAGTGAAAATACAAACATGACGGTGGTGTAGTCCGAGTAACTAGGACTCTACGAATCACCTTTTTTGACATTTAGGCCTAGACATGGTCGGGCGATAGTAGAGTCCTACACAAATTTAGGTATATAGCCTTATTGCGTTACTAATAACTTTTTTTGACCATTTTCACTCGTACCCCCAATCAAAACCTTCAGATTTCACACCCAAAACAGTCTTCAACTTGCCTTATGTGACCCTGTAGTGTAGGCTTCATTGGGAATTGGAAATACAGTCGTTTTCCTATTTACGAATTATTCCTAGTTCGGATAGCTTCAAATAAAAACCTACCTTTTTTGAATAAGTCTCAAATAATTTTTTTTCTTCGGACGATGTGCATTTTGAAAAGGAAAATGAATTGTAAGCGCCTTGATACACAAAGATTTTCCCATAAAATCTTTAGAAGAGGAATTTTGGCCAGATTTCCGACTCGCACCTCAACATGTTTGGACGGTTTGTAGAAAATCGCAGAAGCTGCGTATCGACGATAAATTTCCCCCTCGGTATATCACTTGTACTGTGTGATTTCGAATATTTTGTTCATACAATACAGTCGTATAAACTCTTCCATTGAATGCTTGTTGAATCAAAAAAAAGTTGTAAAGTCTCTAAGTTGTGAAAATTCGCCAATGAATGACCGTATGCTTTTGCCTAGTTCCGGATAGCGCGTGCACTTATGACCCAACTACATGCGCGTTAATCGATTTAATTTTCATTTAAAGCGGAAAACACGTCATTTTTGTGACCGCCTTCAACCCCCAACTTCATGGTCATTCAAACAAATGGCAATCGTGTTCTGGGCCACAAAACATCAAAGCTCTGAAAAACTCATCAAAACTCACTTTTTTATGTACAATATGTAAGAAAATCTTACAGTGACATAAGTTTGATAACATTTCACGCAAGTTTGGAAAGTTTGGGGGCGAAAAACTGAAAGGTGAGTGTTCTGTAGTGATTTAAACTTTGGTAATTTTACGTGTGAAATGTCAATATCAGTAGCTGCGATAGCTACATTGTAACTTTGGGTGACAATCATCACCCGCCGTTCGTGGGTGATGAATGGCCCGAGAGCCATTCATCACCCACGAACGGCGCGCTACCGAGTGTATTAACCTTCTTAACACCCTTCAAGAATTCCTCATTATTGCTTGAACAAAGGCCTTTGTACATCTTCATTGTTGAATTTGTTAAAATGGAAAATCAAATTTGTTTATTTATGAGAAAAGAACAATGAGGTCACAGCATTGTTATTCTTTAGCAAATGTTATTTAAAGCATTTAAAAGAACGGCAGTTGTCAAGCTGCCACAGTAGCCTGTGCCTAATGCATTAACGAGATGAGCTATGGATGCAATGGTCCCTGGTTCGAATCCTGACCATTTTACCAGCGACAATTTTTTTTAATTGAGGGAGAAAAGGAGAACAAAAACATACGTGTCTTGCTGTGATTCTGTGAAATTACTGAATTATACAGAAGTGGCTGCGCGGCGCGCCGTGCTCCATTCGTACAAAATAATGGCAAGAAAAAACAATAGTGTGACATCACAGGAGGGTGTTAAGGAGAGAGATTACGTAGTACATTGCAGATGAATGAACAATTATTTCTTGTCTGTTTTCAGGAGTCACAATGTAGAAGGCATGACACAAGTGGGCCAAGATGAGTGAACCATTATTTAACAGTGCTGTGACAGTGTGTATCAAGTGCACTGGGCATGATGACAGGTATCATGTAACTAACATTGTTCTTAAAGAGGTTGTGGAATGCTCGAAGACATTTCCGTCATTTTTCGGGTATATGTAGCCTAAGGTGAGATGAAATAAAAACGATTATTGTTTCTGTCATGAAATGAGTACAAAGGGTACTTTTGGGAGCTGTTTTTCAGGTCCAGTTTCGACCCGAACGTGCAACTGTGTAAAAGTCGTCGTTGCGGGCAGCAAACAAAACACAGTAAATCGTGACGTAATAAACAGGACTCGTGTATGCTACTGTGCATCGGGAGTCCTGTTTATTACCTCACGATTTACTGTGTTTTGTTTGCTGCCCGCAACGACGACTTTTACACAGTTGCACGTTCGGGTCGAAACTGGACCTGAAAAACAGCTCTCAAAAGTACCCTTTGTACTCATTTCATGACAGAAACAATAGTCGTTTTTATTTCATCACACCTTAGGCTACATATACCCGAAAAATGACGGAAATGTCTTCGAGCATTCCACAACCTCTTTAAACATTCCTACTTACTGATTAGCATGGACAGATATTCTTTATGAGAGTATAAGTTCTATTGTTATATCGTGTGCTCAGATACTGTAGTTGGTCATTGGCATTGGTCTGGACAATAAAAATGCATGTCGCACACTGAGGGTGATATCACACTGCGCGCAGTTACAAGCGCATGTGGAACCAGCCCGCACGCTGGCTTCGCTCAGTGAGAACTGCAACGTCAACCACTCGGTCTCATGTCTGGCAGGACATCAAAACCTTCAGTTATCAAAGGTTACATCACAATGATTGAATTTATTTCTCACACAGTAATTTTACAACCATTTATCGTTTTGACTTATTGGCACGATATAACAAAACAATTATTGACTGCTGTGATGTGGGATAATACCGTTTAATAACCCCCTCGGGGCCCATAGCACCCTCAGGTGTTAAAAACATCATATTCCACGTCACAGCAGTCACCAATTGTTATATATTACAGCTAATGATTATTGAGTATTTTCGATATAATGATGGGCACATGGAGATTGCCGTCTTGTTTTGTAGTGATGAAATATGAGAGTAGTTAAGAACACATTGAGCACCATTGCCGTCAAGAGTTAATTGGGTTAATCACAAGTCATATCACAAGTCAAATCACAAGCCAGGTCACTTGTCGGGTCACAAAAATGGATTAATAGTCATAAAGGAATGCCTTTGTTACATTTCAGTTAAATAGCTTGTAATACTAATAATAATAATGTGTATTTATTTAAGCGCACGTATCCACCATTATTGGTACTAAAGATGCTACGTCATTATCACACTGCTCATTGGGCCAATGAACACGATGAAACACTCCAAAGACAATCTCAGCTCCCTGGGGACAGGCATGCATCTTTTCCTCGGATGAGCTGATTTCCTCATTTTTCACTTCACACGTATGCCATTAAAAATTGAAAAAAAAACACTGTACAAAGTCTTGTACAGATTGGAGTTTTCTCTTTTTTTGTTACTTTCAAGTTGCATGCCTGTTGGGAGTGTACAAAGCTTGATGCTGCCTTTTCGGCACAAAGCAACTGAAATATACCACAATAACCATCTCTGACCTCACAGGTACCCATTTACTCCTGGGTGGAGAGAAGTGCCTTGCCCAAGGGCACACGCACCATAACTGCAGGCTGGACTTGAACCCACAACCTGCAGAATTACCAGCAGACCATGAGTTCAGTGCTCCAGACCACAAGGCCACGACACTCCACTTGAGACTGAATGACTTGTTTGGTGAATTTGAGATGACGTGAGATTGACTGGATTCAAACTCTGCTGCTGTCATGCACCTAGGCTCTGGTGCATTCTACTGTGGAGATGATACAGCTTTGGGCACATTCAGAAGAATATTTATCTTGTACATGTATACTCCACATAATACACAAATGAACCAGTGAGTGAAGGCATTGTGTGGTCTCGTGAGTAGGCAATGAAGTACCATCCGGTGTTGTAGCCCAAGTCCTCAGTGTGGCTAATATTGAAGGCCCATGTCAATTTGCGTTATATTGCACTTCAACTTTCCTAACCCACCTCAATCCTCCTAAATCCTCCAGGTGGTTTTTGGAGGATTTTGGAGGATTGAGGCGCTGGGGATCCTTCATTTGAACATAAGTACTCAATTTTGAAGGATTGAGGAGGATTGGGGATGGTTCCCAGCAAAAAGGACCTGGGAGGTTAGGGTTAAGCATAAAGTGTTGTGCAGGGTTAACCTAACATAATTCGTATTTCCTTGTTTCATCATATCTCTCCAATCAGGACCTCATCGGTCAGAGTTCAGCTGGAAATTCAAACTGCATCGTCGCCATTACAGAGAAAGGTAAAAATAAACTTAGCAATCAGTTTAGGTTGCATTCCCCATGCTGTTCTACAATTTAGATTTTTTTTCTATCAATATATTTTAAACTTGTGTATGTTTCAGTCCAACCAAAAAACTCTTTTTAAATTTTTTTTGATGTCTGCAACCCTCTAAAAAAAGGTGTTTGTTTTGAGCACAAACAGATTCACTTTGTGAACAGACTGGCTCCTGGCCCATACATTATGAGTCACAAGCGCAAGTTGCCTTGGACTTTTTATTTTATTATACAGCAAATGTTGAACACAAACGGTAGATTTATTTTTACGATAATCTGACGCATTTTCGATATTTTCGATATAATTGCTCAATATCGAAAATTTTGATATTTCGATATGATGAAAAAAATTGCTATCGGCGATATCGATATCAAAATAATATTGAACAATCAAGTAATATGAATATATCAACGATGCTTACATGCTCCCCTCACAGTGGTGCACACCACCCCTAATTGGTACGCAAACATTCCACTCTACCTACACCCTGTGTCCGGATACACTGTACTACCTAAAAAATGTGAATTGAATAGTCGTTTTATCAGTTGTTGACTATTATTTCACCTTGTGTCCTGAAAGTGAAAGGTCACAATATAGGCAACCAAAAGTGGGACATTAGAGATCTGAAGCAAGATGAGAGCTGCGTGCTATTAGTTTTCTCTTAAATTGTTGGGAGAAACATCCCTTGAAGTGGAAAATAACGTGAAATGATAGCAGGCCAAATATTTTTCACAGCAAGGCAGATTGTAATGGTATTTTTTGGGCAGTTAATGTAAGTTACTACTACAAGGTGTCTACTTTCCACTTGTGCATTCTTCTGCAAGTATCAAGCTAGGCAATTTGGGGCTTCTTGTAGTCTTGTCGAGGTACATGTGCGTGTATCAATTTCTAATTAAAATCAAATTGCGGGAAAAAAGCTTGAAGAGAAGTAGGTCTATTGACTAACGTTAAATTAAATTAAATTTTCTCCAAAACTGCAGGCAGCTTGATAATTGATAATATTAGTAATATTACTCGACAAGAACAGTTAATTTAGATGTTTCTATTGCCAAATGCATTTGCTAATTTGTACTCTTAAATATCACAGCACACCAGTTTAACGTTAGTTACGCTGTCCACTTAACGTTAGTTACGCCGTCCACGTATTATATACCTTGACAAGACTAAAATTGCCTTGTTTGATACTTGCAGAAGAATGCACAAGTGGAAAGTGGACACCATTTATTGGCCTATCATCCTTTCAATGTTGTTTTCCAATGTTTCTCCCAACAGTTTAAGAGAAAACTAACAGCATGCAGCTTTCATCTTGTTTCATCTCTAATTAATGCCCCACTTTTGTTTGCCAATATTGCAACCTTACACAAATATGTAAACCCGAGGATTAGTCATGCTTGTCAGTGGCATTCACTATCAGTCAATCAATCAATCAATCTTATAGCCATCTTATTCTGGATTCTTTTGTATGTTTTACCATGTGATCTATAGAAAATGTTTGCTGCATCTTTAGAGTGGTGTTAAAATCTGCAAAGGTTTCTATAATAAACAGACAACACTGATGAGCTAGTTACCCAACATTTTGTTTGGGTATCTGGCTCATATCTGTCCGAGCCTCAATACAGTTAAGCATATTCCACTTGGGCCATTATCGGTGACCAGGCCCCTAACCTGTTTTAGATCAAATATTTGAATCTGTTCCATCCCACCATTATTCTCTTATTAATTAATAAGGGAATAACAGTGTGAGGAGCCGGTCTTCACTGCGTGATAATGACCGGGTGTGGGGGTGACCGCTGTTAATGGACCGAGACGAAGTCGAGGTCCATTAACAGCGGTCACCCCCACACCCGGTCATTATCACGCAGTGAAGACCGGCTCCTCACACTGTTATTCCCATTAATAAATACCTTTATAACGAAATAAACAGTTAAAATGCTCCACTTTTGTGACTTTTTTCCGGCGATATTTCCAGACTTTTTTGTGTTCATGTTCATGGGCCATATTTTAGCTTAACAGCTATAACGACGTAAACTCAACAGAAACTGCTGCCGTAGCGAAACAAATTACAACAATGTTTTCATATCTTTACCTGATGGAGGAAGCTGAAATCTCGTTTACACATTCCTTGTGTCCGGAATTACAAAGATGCTTGGTTTAAGAAAGGTAAATATGTCGGTGGGTGAAGTGTTTCAAAGAAAATAAATCGTAAATCTACGCTTTCGTCGTAAACATCCTCAGTATATACTGCACTGCTGTACGATGTCGTTTCAAAACTTCCTTATGCGCGGGCACGCACGCATCCCTAGCAACTGTGTTGCGTACGCGCGGGTCAGTCTCACGCGATGGGGGTCGAGCGCATGTGCAGTGCTCAATTGTTAAAAGCTACCGCAGGACTGTTACTATATTTTGACCAATCATTGGCTTCCATGGGGCTGAACGGGGCTTGATCAATGCTGGTTCAGGGGCCATTTATTCGCTTGATCTTTGAAGCCAGTCCATTATCACTGTTAATGACCGGCCACGTGATCAAGTCTCGACCAATCAGAAACCATCAACTCTCCAAGGTATTTATTAATACAAATTAATTGTATGAAGTAGTTTTGCGATTGGTTTTATTTGTAGAACCAACTTCAGAACCCTGATAACTGAAGTTCCTTTCTGTTTTGGCCAGTTACACAAGCTTGATTTGTGTTTTGATTTCAGGAACTGAATGTCCGTCTGACAGATGACGCTGATCCTTTCTTCCTATTCAACCTTATGCTTGGAGAAGACGACTTTCAAAGGTTTGTATGGCTCACTTGTAACTCCATTCGCTGTTTGCACAACAAGTACGTGTGCTGTTTGGTAGTTTGTTGCTTCATTTATTTTGATATGCATAGAATAAGACTCCGTTTGCCATGGGGGCTGCAGACATTTTCGTTTCGCATCCTCCAACATGTACTTTGTTTGACAGTTTAAATCACAATTATAAAGTTTGTTCACATTCAGTAGGATTGTGTCGTATATACTGAATATTCAAATATTGGATCATCCACTGAATAGAAGGATAGCATTTTCCAATTTGAATATTGAAAAGTATAAGCAGTTTGAGAGCATATTTTTTTTTTACCCCACAAGCTCGAAAATGGAAAATTGATTGCTGTAAAATTGGTATCTCAATTACAATCCGGACACTGATCATGTACTGCTCATGTGTGCAGCCTATCGTGTGTTTTGAATAAATTGGATACACGAACTGAATGAACATGATTCTCGCTAACTTTTACTGCTAAAAATTTTCGCTCCTGGTGAGTACCGTATTATGTCTTTAATGAGTTTAACCTTGTTCAGGCCGCAGCGGAAATTTTTCAGAAAAACTGCAGTAACAAAATTTTCCGCAGCGTTCATTTCATGCGCGGGTCACGTGACTACTTTTCGCGATCAAATTTTCCGTTTTCAAGCTTGGTGCCATTGCATGGGGGGGGTATTTTGCAATAACTTTTTGCACCCATGGACAGCTCAATGTCCCATTTATCAGTTTTTAAAACTCTGTATCCAAAATTGTGTTATTTTCACTGAAAAAAGAGAGAAATTTCTGAACAGCTCTGGATTCCCCATGCCTTTTATGTTGTGGATTTTCAGTCAAGGCCACGTGTGCCCCCCACCCCCCCCCCCCAAGCCATTGCACAATCACGATTTCAAGCAAGATGCCAGTATCAGCAAAACAGGTTATTGCACTGGTAAAAAGTCAAGTGCTAGTATGACTATGAGTGCTGCAACACTGATCTTTCCCCATGTGTTTCTTGTGTTCTTGCAGTCTTAAGGTTCAGCAAGGTTTGTTGGTTGACTTCACAGCCTTCCCCCAAAAGCTCATAGAATTGCTGCAACGATGTGCTGAGGAACAGAGTAAAGACGCTCCAAAGTAAGTCCAATGAAGGCTCCTGTACATGTTTTTTTTTTAAAGAATTTTGAAAGAGAAGTGACAGGACAGTTTCCTTGATCAAACCTGTGACAGCCAAAACTGTGAAGTTGGAATTGTTTTCTCTGTTATCTACTTGATCCAACTGGAAACCAGGGTGCTGTGGTCCAGTGGTTACGGTGTTTGACTCGTGTGCCGTGGTACATGGGTTCAAATCCTGACGGGGAACATGGTGCTTGTGCGATTGGGCAAGGCACTTTACTACGATTGCCTCTCTCCACCCAGGTGTAGTAGGAAGAAATTCCTTCAATGCTGGAGCGCCATAATGGCAGCCGTGCTAAAGCCAGGGTAATAATAAGAGCGCCAGGAGCATCACTTCATACAAGACGCCATTATTATTATTATTATTATTATTCACCACATTATTCACCACCAGACCTATACCTGGATTTGATAAGATAAAGTTTACGGTTGCACCTTTTAACAAATTGCCTGTAAATTTGATGTTATTGCTTCATCACTTTGCAATCCTTCAAATCTAATCTACCTTGATTTTTTGTAGCCAAATTGGTGACCTCAAACTTTTTATAGCCACATTTGGCAAATTATTTTTAAAATAAAGTATTATTTGAATATCAATGAGAGCTAGTCCTATTGAACAATGCCACAGTTGTATCCTGCTGCACTCTGTGACCACAGACTCTTAGGCTGTTTGGTTTGGAGACTTTTGACCTGTTGGATCTCGCTGCACTGGGCAGGCTTGTCATTTAGACAAGTTTTGCATGTTGCTGCGTTTGGCAGGGTTTCTAGCCAAAATAACCTGGAGGGTTAGGGTTAAGAAGGGTTAATAATACAGATGTGTTTTTCTGTTTTCCACTTGTGCAGATTTGTGTTGCAGCTGATTCGGTCGGAGCCCCTAAGCCACGGTCTAGCTGAGCTGTGCATTGTGGAGACCAACCCATTCAAACATCTTACCCATCTTGCTCTCAAGCTACAGCCAGGTGGCGACGCTGATGTCAAAAAGTACCTGGCGTCTTGCTTGAAACGCTTGCAGGTTGGTGTGATGAGACAGTCACGGAGGGATTGTCTGAAAAATACCTCGTCCCATCATATATCTTACTGAAACATTGCGGAGATTGAGCACGTCGAATTCACACAAAGACCTAGGGCAAATCAAATGGCAATAATTAATGGTTGAGAAAAAATAAAGCTAAATTAAAAGAAAATGTGCTAATATAAGTTTTCCCAGCTATTTCAACACTTATATCACAAAAATTCCCTATAACGACACTTTAATTTTGTCCACGAACATCGTTGAGCTCAATTTCCAATTTCAATTTCAAAAAGCGTCCAATGGATTTCATTTAAGGTGCAGTATAATTCCAATGTGTGGCATTCTAATTCATCCTAATTTTGATACATTTATCTCTTGTGGTGATTGGCGTTCAATTGAAAAAGCAAATTTGTTTTTTGTCATTCGTATTACTTTGGTCATTTAAATTCAGCCAGAGCATTTCCTAGCCCATTGAAGGCCTATACATTTCTGGGTATTTCTGCATTTTCTTGTGCCTCGGCTTTGAGACTCGATCCTGGAAAAAATGGCTGTCAATGCTGGAGTTCAGAGAGGCCTAGACAATAAGGTATCAAACTGGGACAGAAACCTTATCACAGATGCCTTCGAAGGAGAACAATTCAATTATCTGGTTGTTGCTGACAAACTCGGGTCAAAGCGCCCTACTGCTCGCAGCATCATACTTATACCTTCGTTAAAACAGAAGAGATGCATTACCAAGAGCAGGGAGAAGTCACTCAAAAACCATCAAGAAATGATGAAAACCCCTTGTTAACCTTGGGCCAACTAACCAAATGAAAGACTACGGCAGCAGCTCCCTGACAAGCCACATATTGTCAAAGGTTCACTAGCTCGGGAGTATATAAATGCTGTGCTGATCACACTGAAGTCTGCTCAGGATGTACCGCAAGGCCCCAAACACCGAGCGTCGAAACTACAAATCTCATTAAATACCTGAATACGCTAAACCCTTCAAAGTATAAGTCCAAAAGATCGGAAACATTTCCTAACTGTAAAGTTTCAGCTTACCAGAAACGAAATGGAATGACAACAGTATCAAATTGACTGACAACAGATGAATTTGCCTTTTCATAACAATGCTTAATTTACCAAATTTAGGATGAATCAGAATGCTACAAATTTGAATTATACTGCACTTTAAATGAAATCCATTGGTGGATTTTTATAATCGAAATTGGGAATTGACCTCAACGATGTTTGGGAACAAATTAAAGTATCATTATAGGGAATTTGTGTGATATAAGTATTAAAATAGCTGAGAAAACCTATAGTAATTAATGTATATAAATGGTATATTCAGCATAGACGTACTAATGAAGGAATGCCCATTGCAATTTCTTTAACAAATTCTGCCTTCATACACAGCTCTGTGGTCTCTGAAATGAATGGATGTTCAGCAGAAAATCATTACTTAAATGTAGGCCAATCAAACTAGTTGCTTTTCATTTATGTTTAAAAAAAAAAAATTCAGTTCCCCAAAACATCAGTATTCAAAGTCTACTGTAGAATGATAGTGACTGTGAATAAATTACCGTGTGGATACTAAACTTTTTAAGAAAACAATACAAATGATTAACATGTTCTTTAAGAAACATATGAATTAAAGGGAGCTGCAGTACAAATTGCGACAATACGACAGATGTAATCATTTAAAAAAGTGGTTTGTACAGACCTACGTATCCTTACTCCATGTTTTCTCAATAATTTAGTCTCTTTTTGAGTAACTTCAAATGATTCTTTTGCTGTTTCTTTCACCAGAATAATAGCTCTCAATCTTACAAATAATATTTTGCCTATACCTGTCAGATTGATAGGAAATTCATCCATTGATTTCTGTCTTTTTTTCGCAGGGTGACCATAACAACCTTTCTCAAAGACTCAAACTGACTGAGTCAACGCTTTCAGGACAGCTCCAAGAGTCTCAGAAGGTATGTTTTGTAAGAAACGTACAATTTGTTTCTGTTCCTTGTTTACTAAGGCTTCATAGGAATAGAAAGGGAAAATTCTGTTTACAATTATTGCTGGGCGAGTATCCCGAGTACTCGAGTACTCGAGAGCAGTGTTTGCTGCTCATTGTTCTACTCGTGGTTTTTCATCTACTCGAGTACTCGTCCCAGCGCAAGTAGAAATAGGTATTCGCGAGTAGCATTTTTTATTTACAAGTGCTGACTCAGGAAAAAGTAACCACTTTGCGGTCTCTGCGCCCAACTTGTCTTTTGTCTTAATACGTCCCCCGAAATGAAAAGGAAATTAAAAAATAACTACCTCCATCTGTTTCCTTGCGATTCCACTAGCACTCTCTAACAAATAAAACAAGCTAACATTTTGCATAGTAAGGATATCTCAGTGCTGAAAAATGTCGTGTATCTTGCACGCTGTTTATTCGTAGTAACTTCTGTCTTAGTAATGTTTAAATGTATGCCATTTTGTCTGTTTTTATGCAAATTTAGTAAACTACTTGCGAGTACTCGAATACTCGTGAGTAATTTCTCTGCGAGTACTCGAGTAGGAAAATCCATTACTCGCCCAGGCCTATATACAACCATAGGCTTTCAGACTTTCTGAGATTATTTGGCAGCATAACAAGCAAGGGTGCCCAGCCACTCTAAAATCAGGGAAAACCTTGAAAAGGAGTTGCCATTTTTGCAGTTGGGGTAAAACTCAGGGATTTTGGGTAAAGCACAAAAATTCAGGAAAAGCTCAAGGAACTTGACAGTGATCCAGAAGGGAAAGGTTTTTGCCCGATTGGCGCAGGTGCGTCTTGGGCCTTGTGTCCAAGTTGCGTCCATTGACTGACTGGCTGTGTTAGTGTTGGTGCAGTGTGAATGTCACACACCTCTCCAACAATTGGCTGTGCTGCATATACCTACGGAAAATATCAGAGAAAACTGAGGGAATGTTGTTTTCATAAAGTGCTGGGAACCCTGCAAATGGTAAAAACAGGATTTTGAAACAAAATACAGCAACCTAAAAAAAGGAGCAAAAAGGGAGCAAAACAATGTTTTTCTTTTTTACTTGACCCAGCGTGAATAAGTAATATGAAAAAATAAAAATAAAAATAAAAATAAGAGTAATTATCTGCTCTTGTTGTTTTTATGTTAAATATTGATATCTATTTTTCCTGACTAATCAACGATATTGATTGAATTATTTCTTTCAATACATGAGAAGTATTGATTGCTTGCAAAGTGTATGATCAATGGCCATTTGCTGTGATAAATGTGCAGTGAGTATTGACTCAGTCCAGTGTTACAACACAAAACAAAGGTAAATAGAGGTCTGAGACAAAATTATCACAACATACTAGAGGAAGCCCATGCTAGTTTTGCTGAAAATGTGGGGTAAGCTTTTTTATTTCAACACAGTAACTAGTCGAATGGTTCATTTGGGGAAAAGAAGTTTTGACTTTTTGGCTGAAATTATATTTATTTCCGGATAACAATGTTCGCTATAAAACCATAATTGCCTCATCCATGGATTCTACACAGTTTGTGATTCCTTCAATAGCCTAGAGCATTGCTACTTAACTTCTGTTTTGATTGAAATTAAATGAAAAGTAACTTGGAGTTTTCAAACTTCCCCATTAATGCTTGTAATAAAGTTTGTAGCGTGTCATCCAAACATGTAAGATATTAATGCAGAATACAAGCATGCCAGCAGCATGCATGTACAAAGATGTGGATCTTAGATTGCTTGTATTATGGTATTCATTATAGCACTTTGGTGGCTGTGGGGAGGTATATATTGGATGTGGTATACACTTTTTTGGAGTTAGGGTACATTTTTTGGCCATATCCACAGTCTTTTTGAATTGCCTTATTGATATTGAGACTGAAGTTTCTGTAACAGAAACGTTTGCTGTGACTTCATTTTCCTCTTCTGTTATTTGTCTCGCCAGGCACTCTCAGCTCGCACTCGTGAGCTGGAAAGCCTAAGATCAGAATGGAGTGCCCACACAGACAGCCTGAATGCCAAACACAAGCAGGAGATTGCTGAGATCAAACAGAATGCATTACAGGTACGTATGTCTGCTGCCATCAAGGCAAAGTCTAAAGGCCCATGCCCATGATGTACACACTGTCCTGAGAGGTCCAACAGCCAAGAATGAATTCTGTCAGGTCAAAAAGTATCCAACAACTGCCAAAAACATGTCATTGTGAGAGATTATTAAAAATGTAAAGCTTGCATTTTGTGGTATTGTATTGTTTGAATTTGTAGCGCCACTGACACAAGGCCCACTAAAGATAATGCCGATCCTCGACCGACGCGACGAACAAACATATGCTTTTCAGTTGGTATCCATTTGGGTCATTCAATGGGCTCATGCAATTTATGCCGGCCACCATAGACTAGACTCCTCATAGCTAAGCCGTGCTTCCCCAGTGTCATGTGAAAATCGGACTCCTATAAAACAAAAAATTGCACCCCCCTCATGTGATCGGTCATTCTAATAGTCATTACAGGTTAGGCATGCACCCTAATATGGAATTGTCGGTGCCGACCTTTATAACCAATGGACCAATCGTACCAAAACATGAATGGAAAATCTTTGAGCGTTGTTTTAGATGGCCAATCAGATTCTTTTAAGGACGCTAGCTCGATGCAAGCACTTGTCATGCTGTGGGCATGTGGAACCAGGTGTGGAACAGTACGTACGCGTATGCATCAATGTACGGGCACATAGGCGTATAGGGGCTTTTGTAAACACGTGTAGTGTACGCAGCTAGATCGTACAAGGGTTTTCCCCACGATGAGAAATCATGGCTTTGATATTGCGCTTTCTTTGGAGTATTTTCTTTTCTCAATTTTCCCGGACAGCTCGGCATCATATGACCCAGGCAAGTCCCTTCCCTAGCCCTTTGCACGTCGGTACCGACCTTAATAACCATCGGACCAACCGTACCAAAACACGAATGAAAATTGCAATTGCACCTTGAACGCATATAGCGCAGAATCTTGCTGCATGATGAAGCTTGTGTACATTTTGGCAGTTGTAACCAAGATTGACGTGGTTGTTTCTTGTCGCTGTTATACTTGGGAACCACATATTTTGGCAAAAATAACGTATGATGATATAGAGAAACAACACGACCAATGTTATGACTGTCAAAACCTGCCCCAGCTGTTTAAAACGTTGTTTGGAAGAAAACCGCAAACATGGCGGCGTTAGCAAAACTTCAAAGGCCTTTCAGGTAGGGTTGCTGCTGCTGAAGTATCAGGTTATCAAGTCGAGCTTGACAGTTGCGTCTAACTTTCAACTGTAATTAACAATACAGACATGAAACTAGAGGCATGGAACCACAAAGAATGGAAATCAAACATGTGAAAGAGGTTGTTTCTCTTTCTGTTTGAAAGTCTTTTGCAAATATTCTGAGCACTATTAAAGAAGAATACTTCGTTATTAAAATTCCATACCAAGTTCACCTGTGTTTTGGTATTCATGAATTATTAGTCAGTATTGATCAGTATTAAAAAAACACCATGACTATCCGGTAATACCGAAATACTGTCGAAGCCTTGGCTTTACATTAACATCAAATGAGGCTTTATTTTAATGCTATTTGCTATACAGAGAAGGCAGGGAAGAGAACTGTTTTCAAGACCCCCCTTTCCCTCTATGGATTCATGAAATACTCATCAATAGTAAGAAAAGAAAGGAAAAAGCCCAAAAGAAAAAAAAAAGCCCAAAAGAACCAGAAGTTGGTGGTGTAAATACTGATTCACATGATAGATATTAGAATTGCTCACATAATCTTCTGTTAGCACAGGTATTTAACCATGCTAAAAGCTCGTCGGCATACATGTACTCCCTCCACAAGGGAAACTGGGGAAAAAGTTGATAAGGGGATTTGACTTTTTTCGTGTCTCATTTATCACAAAATTTGTTGACACGTCGGATTTGATGTCATTATGTGGATTTCACTATTTTGTGACAACCCCTTTGTCTTTGGAAATTGCCTTTGAATTGCCATTATTATTTATTGGTCTGACGTGCTGTTATGAATCAAATGCAAACATGTTGCTGTCTGTCAACTGTTTTGTTTTGAGCAGTTTTGTTTGTATGGTCTTTGCTATCAGCTCTATCGAAACCTTGCAGTGGTGTGTACATCTTGATGTTGGAGATAAGACTCATTGTGTTTGACTCACTTTTGTCACTCAGCTTGTTGTATTTTTGTGTACCTTTCTCACTCCCCACATCACCTTGTTTACAATAACAAAGGATGGCAACAGATGTTATTAGACCTTTTATCAAACTCAAAAGCAATTGTCAAAGAATTGAAACCTGAATGGTATATGTGTATGATTAAACACAGTTTCATCACCAGTACATGTAGTTTCGTAATTTACTACCGTATGGAGACATGTGTATAATAGGGAACAAAAGATTGTGTACGTCTCCACAGGGCAATTTCTATAGGTGAATATGTCTCCACAAGGTTATCACGAAATTGATATATGGATTTTACTCAATAAGGAGGAATTTCAAAGGTGTGTTGATCAGTCACGAATTAAAGTATTTTATGTAAGGGATATTAAGTCAAAATTTCAGCCCAGGAAATTAATTCTGGTTAAAATAGGAGCATTTTGAAACTACATTTTCACACACTAAAATGTTAGTACATGAGAACAAAGAAATGACTCCACAAGGATAAAAAATCTACTTTGAGTACTATTGAGTTTGGGAAAATGTGCTGAACTTGTCACAGAATTAAATGATTTAAACAACTACTCACGTCTTGTAAAATACATGTTTTTTAGTTTCAGTCCAATCCAAAGTTTTTGTTGAAACCTACTCACTGATTGTTCCTGTTTGTTTCTCATCAGACTCAGCGAGACATGGAGCAACGTTATGAGCAGGAGAAGAAGCAAATGGAAGACATGAGACAGCAAAGGTCTTCTGAACTGCAGTCTCGCCTAGCTGACCTTCAGACAGCCAATAAGGTGAAAGCTTTAATAGTCTCATTGCACAGGCAACCAGGGCTTGGAATTACGGACTGTACACTACCACAGGGTTCCTGAGGCCTGAGGAAAAAAGCGGAAAAGCCAGGGAATTTTGTTTTCAATTTCCAAGTCTGGAAAAGTCAAGGAAATTTGTAAAAATAACAAAAAAGTCGTGGAAAGTTGAGGAATTTTTTGAGGACCAATTTGTGTCCCCCATTTCTGTTATGTAATTTTCACGAGTTTTACAGTTTGTGTCTGCATTTTAATGAACTAGTTCATGGATTTTCATAATTTTGTCATGGAAAAATCACAGAATTTTGTTGTCCTAAAGGCAGAGTTGTAATGACTTGAGTAAATGACTCGACTCAAGTCCGACTCCAGTCACAATTGTTGGCGACTTGACTCGACTCAAGTCCCTCATCAGAAGACTTCACTCAACTAAAGCCGAAGGCTAATAACACTCGATCAGTACCAAAATTGTGCGAAAATTGAATTTGCGGTGACCTACGGTACAAAGTTATTCATGTTTGTGTACTCTGTGTTACTGTCAAGTTGTGGCCTCTTATCATGGATTCCCACCTTGTGGTTTCTAGAACTATGCCAGAACCAAACTTTAAAAGCATTTCCCAATTCTTGGTTTCGTCACGGCTTCAGGCCATTTCTTCAGCCCTTGGTGGAACCCCGGCTAAATTGATGTCCTGCTTTAAAACAAATAATTAGATGTATTTCTATATAATCAGAAACAGTTCCGTATGTTGCAATTTGGTTTTGACGTTGTCAGCATGAAAATTATTCCAGACCCGACCCTGCTCACATCCCTCTGGGCCCATTTTATTATTTTAACAATTACCAGAAAAGACCCATTACATGCCAGGGTTGGCAGTAAATTGGTACTGATGGTAAGGTACCTTGCAACCTTACACAGTGGCTCACACACAAAGAGATAGAAAACATACATGGGCATCCAAGTGTTGCATTAAGTGCATCACGCTTGCGTATGATTTCATGCCTCTTGATGCACACTATAGGGCCACATCATCCTGAAATCACCGAAATGTTTATGTTTTAGATCGTTTATTCATCCTATTTCAAAAAGTCTGGTTGAAAGGAAACTAAAATAATGGTGCACTGTTACTAGAAACTTAGACGATCAAACCCTGGAGTTTACTTCTGATGTGGCGGACATTTTGTTGCATACATGTACATGTATTTCAAGCAGTAACAATAAGTCTCCTTCATGCCCCTAGCTTCTCTGTCCATGATGTCAGACGATTCAATGCATGATACACATTGTACGTGTACAAACACACACACAGTGCCAATAATACACCAATGTTGTTTCTCGCACCTCTCCAGAATGCGATGCACTGGTGGAACATGTGCGACTGGAAACACGACTAGCACCCAAACAGCTCAATTTTTGGGAGTCGTATTGACCCCGAAATTTGTTCTCGCAGGAATAACACAAAAATTGCCAAGTTTTAAGGGATGGTTGTGTGGACATTTATATCCTACTTTTAAATGCTCTTTCTAGTTGGCACCAGTTAACACCGTTTCATTTAAAGCGCATTTTGTAGCCCAATTGGGCACTTTCTAGGACATAGTGTCACTTTAAAGGCACAGGTTTACTGAACATCTATATTGATTAGTTCTTTTCGTACAGAGTTATGTCACTCGAAGAAATTAATATAATTTTCAATATCTTTATATTTGGTGTCACTCTCACAAAGCGATCAAACCTACAAACAAGTAACTTTGAGCTGCAAATGGCAATCAGTCTGACACTTGTCTTTTTTATATAATGTGCATTATAGGTCTGTTCTGGCAAGCAAAAGACGTTTGTCGTAAATGATTGTCTATTTTCATTTGGCATCCATTCCATGACATGATGACGGGAATCATCTTCTCTTGCCAGACAGATTCCAATTAAGTTTCTCTTTTGTTCATCTAGTGATCTGTTCATGTCAGTAATCAGTTCATGTTGTCTTGATAAAACTTTAAGCCAACTTTCCCCTATTGTAAAACATTAAAGAGAACCATTCCAAGTTTCTCAAAGAGTGCTGCATTGACACACTAATAAAAAAAAAAGCCGAACATTTTTTATCTTATTTTCCTACATTTCAAGTCACTTTAGTTTAAATGAATCACACATGAATTATGAGTAGAATATGCCTGTATGTAATAACTCAAATGGGAGAAGACAAATGACTTTAAAATTCACCAACAAGTATTGATATATGTTGCTTCATGGTTTACCACATTTCCATGATAGGAGACATCAGTTGTGTATTTTTACGTTGCGTTTGCAATGATAGTGCAAATGCATCATTAAGTTGGTGTTTCCCCACCTGGAATCCTTTGAAGTTCAATCAGTTCACTTATGCCAGTGTCAGACTGGCGTACCAGAGTCCCGCTGAATCAAGGCATTACTGAGTTTTGAATTATATATTCATATGAAAAGTTTGACGTCTGAAACAATTAGGAGCAAGTACACACGGAAGATATTGAAAGATTGACTGTTGAAGTCATTCTTAATGACTCTACAGGGTGTTTAAAAAAAGGAAACTCAACTTCAAAGAATGAGTATGGTCAGACGATATGTTTACTGGCTATAAAACTCCTTGTTCGCATGTGAATGCTCTTTCTAGTTGACACCAGGTAACACCGTTTCATTTAAAGCGCATTTTGTAGCCAAATTGGGCACTTTCTACGACATACATGTAGTGTGGGTTGGGTTTCCTTTTATTGAAACACCCTGTAGAGTGCCTTGGTTTTAGACATCATTCTACTGGTAGTTGTGACCCGAACTCAATGCAAATTAATTTAAATGTAAGGTAATTAGATAGTTTGATCTTGAAACATCTCACAGTCCACTTGTACATGGCTATGGGAATGTGAAGCTCGCACACAGGTTATTATTTCAATTAGAACACTAGAGCGCTATAGTGTCTGTTAAAAGGAGAAACTGTTTGCATCTGATTGGATACCTCAGAGGCACCCAAAGCCAACATATCAGCAGTGTCTCAGGTTTTGCAGAGCCTGTCTGAAGTCTGGGTTCTTGATGAAATAGATGACCACGTTAAGCCAACTGTTGGCCATGAAACAGCAGTGGATAAATGCTCTCATCCCTTCTGATCTATACTCCTCTACATCGGGGTAATATTTCTGCGCTATGGACTGGTAGAGGGATGGAATCCAGCTCACTATGACGGCAGCAAATATGATGAAGATGGTCTTGGCTGCGCGGAGTTTAACTCTATGTAGTGGCTGGTGTGGAGACACTTGCCCAATTGACTTGGTCTCTTGCTGTATGCGCTTTGCTTGACGTCGAGCAACTATCAGAATGTGGGAGTACAAGTAAACCATTATCCCGAAAACAATGACATAAAAGATGATAATCATGTACTGCCGCAGCCCTGAGTTGGGTGGCCAGATGCACATGTGTGGTGGTTGTGTTGCGATGATGCATTGGTTGGAAGTCAACACTCCAAAACAAATGGTGCTGACGGCAATGCTTAGGAGCCATATTGAACAGACAGCTAGTCGTGCCCGCCTTTGAGTCATCAAGATTGTATAACGTAGTGCATACACGATTGCAATGTAGCGATCGACAGTCAGGAGCAGTAGGGAGACCACGCTGGTGGCGATTAAGACAGTGGTGATGACTCCATAGGCTATGCAGAGGAAATCCCCAAATGGCCAGTAGCTAACCAGGACCTCAGTGGCTCTAGGTATCACCCAGATCAGACCAATACCAAGATCAGAGACTGTCAGTGAGGTTAGAAACACTCTGGTGCTATCCTGGATGCTGGTGAGGCGATGGAGAACCAACAGACACAGTGGGTTGAGAAAGAGGATAAGAAGCCCATCAAGAACTAAGATGATTGTTGCAAATGTCAGCAGTCTCTGCAGGGGCTCTTGGGTGTGTGTTGAGTTTGACAGGTCCACCGTAGATACAGCTGGCGTTGTGTGCAAACCCGACATTGCCGTTGAGTTCTTAAGCGTCAAACCAACTCTTTAGATCAATGTAGATCTTTAGTAGACAGTGCATGCACATCACATACAGCCATTTTCAGGAAATGTAAAAGGCTCACATTGAATATGTTCTGACAAAAATAACGGCTTAAGATTGCAATCAGATGACTGTAACATGTGCAAATGCAAAAACCAGCCTACTGGCTTGTCTGTTTCTCTGAAATGAAAGAACCTTGCAATGAAAAGTTAATTATTTGCTTTGTCCACACCTTAGTAGTCCATATGTTGCTCCAGAGGCTAAATTTGTATTTGTCGCTCACGAATGCCAGGTAGACAAATTACCCAGTAGTTTGAACATTAACTTTTCTGAGTCAGAAGTTTTACACATATTTTGGTAGAATAGCAGCTGAGTATGCGAAGCACAGTATTTAAAGAAGTCTGCTTTTTGTTTACTTGTTTTTTTTTTTTTTTGGTTCTTTTATTTGCTGAGGTCATTTATAAGAGTTGATCATTACAAGAACACTCCATCATCCATGCAATCTTGGTGCATATCAAGTTAGGGTACAAAGATCTTTGAGCCCCCTTACATTATATAAATATTTTTTTTAAAAGAGGGCACTCGTGGCACAGATAGATTTTGCTGTGGAGTTCTGCGACAATGTGGTGCCTCCTGGGTTTATTCTGACAGGTCTACTTACAGTATGTTTACATGAATCGTGAGAACATACTCATTTTGTAACCTACTTAGATGGACATAATGGTGGATGAGTGATTTTCCTGTGGTCTCCCCCCCCCCCCAGCCTCGCAAGCAAGCTACATTGATCAACAGATCATCTATGCTTTCTTTGATTGAAATCTCCTCAAAATCATCAAAATCTCCTTAAAATTGTTTCTCTTCATTGATTAAAAGAAATATAATTTATCAGAAGAATAGACGACTTCCACTTTAAGCATTTTTAAAAAGATATTGACTTTGCTGGCCCTTTTAGTTTGTATCATCACGAAACTGAGCAGTTGTTCTCCTTAATGAATTCTGACAGAAAAAAATAGTAAAACTTTACTATAAAGAAATGCAGAAGAAAAACAAAATATAACACAAAACAGGCATGCAACTTTTCCTCGGATCCGCTGATTTCCTCGTTTTTTTTCTTCTCATGAATACCATTACAAATTGAAAACACTGTACAAAGTCTTGTGTGATTTGGAATCCTCATTTTTTCCTTCTAAATCCCCAGTTGCATGCCTGACAAAAGAACTAAAAAATATTTTTGGGATTGAAACTGTTTGGAATGAATCTGAAGATGACTTTAGTAAATTTTCTTCCGGATTCATGTATTTTGGTTATTCAAGTTACCTTTTTGTCTGAATGACATTTTTTCTTTCTTTATCTATTCCCTTTTATCTGATTTTACTGGATAGGAATTGACCGACAGGAAGTATCGGCTGGAGTCATCTGTCAGGGAGCTGAAAGGAAAACTGACAACGTTGGAGGAGGTACGTGCTAAGATACGACTTGACCATGGCAACCAAGTCATGATCTAGCTGATATAAACAGAATGCATACAATTTCACGCTAATGATATGTTTCATTCTGATTTATCACCTTGGAACAACTGGACTTTCATTGTGGTCTAGAGAAGTTATTTATTCCATTTTGTATTGAATTTGGGAAGATTAAAAAAGATTTGTAGAAAAAGAAAGAGTAAGACAAATTATTTGGAATATAAAAAGGTAAAGGAAAGCTCATACTGTAAAAAGGAATTTTTTCTGGGGGGGGGGGGACTGGCCATTTAAATTTTTTTTTTTTTAAAGAACATGCAATGAGCAAACTGTAAATATCAGTTCAGATTTTAATTTTGATGAATTATTGTGATATATGGCAATCGTTAACCCTGTGGACTTTGTGTAGAAAATAGGCCTAGGTGAGGGTGAATTGCAATTGTCACGGCTAGTTGCGATAAATAGTCACGACTCGTTGACCAGACATGACTAGTAACACATTATTTATTTATTGAGTAATACTTCTGGTTAGTGCAACAATACAGCTAACAAATGGGTCTGCGCTTGTGTAATAAACGTTTGGGGCAAAAAACAACGTAACAAGCAGGTCAGGTTGCCTTGAACAGATGGTTCCATATTGATTAGGGGTACTTTGACATGATTGATTATTGTAATTACATATCGTGTAAAGTAAAGGCAGATTGTGATGAAACTTGGTTTGATAAATGAATATATTATGGAGTTGCTATTTCGAAGCAAACATCTTTCATTTCACATACATGCATACTTTCCAGTGAAATTCAGAAGCAATCCCAATACTTTGAAATGTTACGTTACAATCAGATTAGGCCCTGCACATGAATAATGTCTGCGTACTGCAAAGTATTCTAGTGGACCAGCCAAAGTGGAATATTACACTTTTGGAAGACTTTTTTTGGGTAATGGCAGGCAATAATGCCAAATTAATTTTGTCCCAAATACATGTACACACTGAGTATACAGTGTTTATACGTCGGTGAAGGGCAAAACCTAATTTGATTTACATCACCCCGACGCAAAACATTCCATCTTATGAATAGTTAATGCGGTACCCGCTGCTACTGTATGTACATCAGATTCGAACCAGCCAACCGATCCTGTTAGCTTGGTGGTCGAGTGGTAAGACATCTGCACTAGAAAGCAGGAGGTCGTGGGTTCGAGTCCCACCCGAGTGATTTTTGTCAACTTTCACTCGGGAGGTAACACACTGAGTACACAGTGTTTATACGTCAATGAAGGGCAAAACCTAATTTGATTGACATCACCCCGACGCAAAACATTCCATCTTATGAATACCAAATATCCCTAATATGCATAAATTGTTAATCCCAGCTGTGTATATTTATTCCCATATTGGGTATATTCTTTATTTTTTTATTTTTTGAAAAGTTTATTTTTAATAGTGATTCTGCTTACACACCCTTACTTGAATAATATTTTCTTAAGCATATAAGTGGCTGAATAATTATGAGGACATAGTAATGATCCAAAATGGCTACTATTATACCCCCCAAAAATTGCGCATTTACCTTGTCTCCAGATATCATCAAGTTGTCTTGCCAAACCTTAGTATTGATGAGCTTCAAATTCGCAAGTTGCTTACTGGCACAGTTTCCCTGTTTAAACCTTATGGAAAATCATGTGAACAATGATAACATGGCGATATTTAGCCCAGCAAACAACAACAGGGAAAATGAGCTGGCTGGCCCTAAACTAGGCTTCAATTAGGCGAAGGGTCGGCTAACGTGGGAGAATTGCATAAGTTCAAGGAAATCCACCCCCCCCAATAAAAAACCAAATAATTATGTCAATGTCAAAATGTTTTCTTTCCATTAATTTTCTCTCCAATAATTTTGGGAATTTCATTGAACTTTTTCAAGTCTCCCACGTTAGGCAACCCTTCAGTAATTAGGCCAATTAACAGATACCTCGTTTTTCCAGTTTTATGTTTGCTGGGCTGAATTTCACGACGTTATCATAATTATTCAGTTGTGAGTGATGACAGAAAATAGACTTTTGCCTCTGAAATTGGCATTCATGTTCTATCACTATTACTATTAAATTCTTATTCTTTAAAACATCTTTACTGGGCCATTTTTTTAATTGCTTGGATCACAGATTTTCAGGTGTATGTAGAGAATTTCAGTAGTCACGACTAATTTCAATTGTCACGACTAGTCACGACATTGGAACTAGTCACGGCATTGGGACTAGTCACGGCATTGGGACTAGTCACGGCATTGGGACTAGTCACGGCATTGGGACTAGTCACGGCATTGGGACTAGTCACGGCATTGGGACTAATCACGACATTGGGACTAGTCACAGCATTAATGGGACTAGTCAAAGCATTGGGACTAGTCACGGCATTGGGACTAGTCACGGCATTGGGACTAATCACGACATTGGGACTAGTCACAGCATTAGGACTAATCACGGCATTGGGACTATAGTCACGGCAGTGGGACTAGTCACTGCATTGGGACTATAGTCACGGCATTGGGACTAGTCACTGCATTGGGACTAGTCACGGCATTGGGACTAGTCACGGCATTGGGACTAGTCACGGCATTGGGACTAGTCACGACATTGGGACTAGTCACGGCATTGGGACTAGTCACCGCATTGGGACTATAGTCACCGCATTGGGACTATAGTCACGGCATTGGGACTAGTCACGGCATTGGGACTAGTCACGGCATTGGGACTAGTCACGGCATTGGAACTAGTCACGGCATTGGGACTAGTCACGGCATTGGGACTAGTCACGGCATTGGAACTAGTCACGGCATTGGGACTAGTCACGTCATTGGGACTAGTCACGGCATTGGGACTAGTCACGGCATTGGGACTAGTCACGGCATTGGGACTAGTCACGGCATTGGGACTAGTCACGGCATTGGGACTATCGTCACTGCATTGGGACTATGGCATTGGGACTAGTCACAGCATTGGGACTTTAGTCACGGCAGTGGGACTAGTCACCGCATTGAGACTATAGTCACGGCATTGGGACTAGTCACTGCATTGGGACTAGTCACGGCATTGGGACTAGTCACTGCATTGGGACTAGTCACGGCATTGGGACTAGTCACGGCATTGGAACTAGTCACGGCATTGGGACTAGTCACGGCATTGGGACTATAGTTACGGCATTGGGACTAGTTACGGCATTGGGACTAGTCACTGCATTGGGACTAGTCACGGCATTGGGACTAGTCACGGCATTGGGACTAGTCACGGCATTGGGACTAGTCACGGCATTGGGACTAGTCACGGCATTGGGACTAGTCACGGCATTGGGACTATCGTCACTGCATTGGGACTATGGCATTGGGACTATAGTTACGGCATTGGGACTAGTCACGGCATTGGGACTAGTCACGGCATTGGGACTAATCATGGCATTGGGACTAGTCACGGCACTGGGACTATAGACACTGCATTGGGACTAGTCATGGCATTGGGACTAGTTACGGCATTGGGACTAGTCACGGCATTGGGACTAGTCACGGCATTGGGACTATAGTCACGGCATTGGGACTAGTCACGGCATTGGGACTAGTCACGGCTTGGGACTAGTCACGGCATTACGACTAGTCTACTATTTAGAAATTGATGCTCACGACTACAAATACAAGTATTGGCGACAAGTCGACTAGTCGCACTTGTCACACAGGCCTAGTAGAAACCCCCTCAACTACAAAGAAAGAGTTAGGTGGCCTCTTGAATGCTTTGTTCAAATGAAGAAAAAACAGGTTAAAAAAATTGCCATATTTGTGTTGGGATACATTGTAATTCCTACCTGTGTCACAAACTGCACTCACCTCACCACACACAAGGTTGCAAGCATACATTTACATGTTTTCCTGCCTTTTTAAAAATAAAACATACACAATTTTGCAGCCCTTTATATTTTTTTTGGTATTCCTCAATTTACTATAATATCAGAGCAAAATTACCTCCATACTTCAGTTGACTTTTTCCCACTGTGTTAATTTTTACCTCATGCTAATTTAGAGAAGTCTTTGTTAATGACTGAAAGATAATATGGAGTTAAATAAATATAAATGAGCAAATGTTTTTTTAACTCCATTGAATATCCAGGACTATCAGCGGGCCCAGCATGAGCTGCAAGCACTGCGACAGCAGCGGGGGAGTCTGGAATCAGACCAGCGGAGCCGGGAACAGACTCTGAGTCAGCAGCAGACGCGTATTGCTGTGATGCAACAAGAGGTGCGGGATAAGGAGGCCTTGCTGGCTAAGAGCAATCAACTGATGGAATCGGCCAATGAACAGAAGGTAGCACCTGGATTCTTTGTTTTTCCTCAATGTCGTTATGTTCTGTCATAATCAGACACTTCTGGATAAAACTTGAAATGGTGATTCGACTAAAACAGATGTGGGGGTGATGTTTTTTTCTTTCTGATTTTCGGATTTTGTACAAAGTCATGACCCTGTCTAAAAATACTGTAAACGTTTCAGGTGGTAATTGTACTTATAAAGGTGATCTTGTTTTGAGATTATTTGTAGAGGTGAATCAATTCAACAATTGCAAAATCCAAAAACCTTGACAAGCAATTTCCTTGTTATCCCCTGGCTTTAAAGCCAAGAAAGGGGGATCTTGCGATAGTGTATTCCTTCTGTGTGTCTGTGTGTATGTGTGTTCCATTTTGGTTGGGTTAAATGTTTATTGCTGTCATGTGAAAAGTCAGACTTCAATCTCAACCAAACTTGGTGACAATATGGGTAGGGGGACTTAAGATGACTTGAGACATTTGAGGTCAAAGGTCAAATGAGGTCATTGTTGATTTTGGTTAGGTACACTGAAAAGTGTGCTTACTAACTGACTGTATAAATACTGCCAGCATGTCAGGGGGATCGTGCAAGTTTAACTTGCAGTATTTTTGTCAGCCTTTGTGACATCACAAACATCAAATGGGCAGAATGCAGCCAAGGAAAGTCTGTTTTCAAACTTGAAGCATCCATGTAAAGGATTAAATCTATATTTAAACATAGCTTTTTCGACAGGCAGCCCAGAAGTGTATGCTTTTGACTGGACATGTCACATATTTGATTACATATATTTGGGTGCTTAGAACAGTTCTTAACTACAGCACTGGTCTTCTTTCTATAGGCCAAGCTTGAAGAGAGTATTCAGCACAAGAATAGTCTGGTGGCCAAGTTGGAGAGCACCGTCAAATCAACATCACAGGAGGTTATGAAGGTATCTGCAGTATACATGTACCATGACTTGATCAGTGTTCATTTCCATGTGTAATGTCAAACTATCAGTGGAAGAAATTGTACCACTTGTTCAACATGAATAGGACAAAAGTTCCAGTGAATGGGGATGCTGTAACAATGCCATTCCAGTACTACAAATAAAAGAAATATCAGATTTAAAGGTAGGGAACATCATTTGCAGCTATCCAAAATGTAACTGACAAAATTATTGTTGAAAAGCATACTTGGTTCAAAGATAGTAATGGCACTAAACTCCCTGTGAAATTATTCTTTCTGGCATGCTGCCATTTTGAAGAAAACAATAAAAGAAGGCCTTTTCCAAAAATGCGTCTTTTTAGTAATTTCCTTTAGGAGTTTGTTTTTAATTTGGGGAAGCCGTGAATGATTGTACGCAAGCACTGACACGACGCACACGCACTCACTGTTGCTGTTATACGTCATTTCAGTGCATGACATCGTGTAGCTGCAATCGACTAAATGAAAACGTGTCCCGGACGCTGCATGATTTCGGGCGCAAATCAAAACATATGACTCGGTAACTTTTGAATGAAAATCGAGATCTTAAAATATTGTTTTTCTCGGAATAGACAGCTTTCACTGAGCTGAAACTTCATCAGAATAGTTGTTAAGCACCCTTCTTTAGATTTGAAACACTTTTTTGCTTTAAACGAAAAAAATGCACAAAAGACAAATGATGTACTCTACGTTTAATAAGCAAATGTTCATATTTATTAGTTACAAACTAACATTTATGATTAACAAATTTAACTTTTCAATTTTGGTAATATGTAAACTGATGTCATTAAGCTTGAATTAACGTCTGTTTGTATCCACATAATGGCATTAGTTCAGCACCTGCTTAGTTGCATATTGAGGGGTGTATGGATTGAACTCTGCCTTGGAGACGTGAGATTTCCATGGAAACAGTCGAGTGTTTTCCCAACATCCTCCAGACTGCAACCACCCATTTTAGGATGAGAGGAGGAGATAAATGTTCCATTGAATTTGCTGACGTACGAAGACTCTCTGCAATAAAACAAATATTACGCATTTCATAGTTCAAAGGTTTTGAGCATTCCATGTTTTTGTTTCTCTGTAGTGAAGTCATAAATAGACTTCAAATTGGTCTTGTTTTTATGAAAGAAATTATGTCAAAAATTTATGAGAAATGCCGCGAAGTAACCATCAATTTTGATCTTTTTTTGCCCACTACACCTACATATGCATAATTTTAACGTGTGGTCTTAAACACCGTATGCTCCAAAGTTTCTTGGAGTATGCAGGAAAAATAGCCATACTCAGTGGCACTCGATTTCTCAATTCCTGTTCAATATTACATTGTCCTGACCACTGAGCTTTGCTGGATAGCCAACCAGTACATTATTGGCAAAAGTGACATCATCATAGTAAAATTTTCCATTAGTTAGGTGTACAAGTCCTGTTGAATAGTTACTTGAAAGACTGTGTCTTGTGGATTTTTCAGGGAAATGAGATCATTAAGAAGTTGCAAGGGGAACTCAAGGCCTCGCTAGCAAAGGTGAGTTCAAATAATGAGAAAAAAACACCCTTCAACGACCCTTTGAGCTTTTTATTTGTGCAACTTTTTGAATATTTGTAATAAATGATGTGGATTGAAAAGTGCTTTAATAATGTTTAAAAAAACCCAGAAAAGTGATGAATTGCAGACAAGTCAGAGCGAGTTAAGAAAACTTCAAATAGGTTAAAACAAGTTAAGCTGCCTTCAGACTGTAAAACCAAGTTGAAATGATTTAATACATGATGAGAAAAACCTGACCGATTGGATGAATGGTCTACTTAATACACATTGTGACAAAAGAGACTGTATTACAGTGTGTTTCCAATTGTTGGTTATACCTTGTTTGAAAACTATCACCACCAATGACATATGGTTATCTAACTTATCTTGACATCTCATGATAACTCAACAAGATCTTGATGCCACATTTTTCCTAAATTCTGACAGCATAAGTCTACTCTTTTCGTAATAACCCAATTGCAATTTCAAGTTAGTGTACATTTGCAAAATATTTTTGGCTAGTGGTTAGATGTTGAATCGATCCACTGTAAATATGCAAAATCATTAAACGTACTAACAAAATTAGAGACACAAGTACATTTTTGCTGGACCTGAGGACCAGCCCATGTCCTCAGAATGACTGAGAGTCACCGATTGATTGACTGTCTGACTGATTCACTGAATATGACCAAATGTCCTTAGTTGAGGTTTTCAGGTGCAGCTTGACTAGGCAAACCTGCTCTTGTTCCTTTTCTTTGTGCACATTTTTCTGCCATTATCATCCTCCTAGAGTGCAAGATATTGAATTTAGCATGAATGGTAGAAATTTGGGCGATTCACAATGCAGTGCGCCACCAAGAGTTTGCCATGGAGAGTCCATTTTTCAAGTTTACGGTCGACAAAACACGGCCCATTTGAACAAGTGTCAGTAAACAACTTGAGCTAATTTGTTATAGATTGTGGCATAGCGTTCTGCCGCTTACAAAAAACACCATATTGATAAAAACAAAAGAAAAGGACAAACAGATACTCGAATCATACACTTACGAAACTACTGACCGGACAAACTAAAAAATTTCAAAAATCCCGCGCTGTGAATTTGTCGACCATCTCCCACAATGCACTGGGAAAACTTAACTCTCCGTGGCAAACTCTTGGTGGCGCACTGCATTGTGAATCACCCAAATTCTAAATTGGCTTATTATTCAACCGAGTTCCAAAGTACAAATAAAAAAAAAAATTCTGGAAATACCCGAACCATTGCCTCAAGTAAAGATATCGATTCATCTATTTTTTTTTCTCCAAACAGCTGAAGCTGAAGAACACTGTAACTGGCAAACAGGAGAAGTTATTGGAGGAGCGTAACCAGACATTGAGGGCGCTACAACAAGATGCAGACGGGCTGAAAACAAAAAGCCAACAACTAGAAAATGAGGTACTAGATGCAGTGACCAGACATTTTTTCATGGGGCAGTTGAGTCACTCGGTTCAAATCCAGATATGAGCCCCTTTTCACTACTTTTGAGTTTAAGTACATGTAGCAATTACTTTTTTTGGAGTGTGAGTCGAGAGTCGCTTTATCTTGAGCCACAAGTCATTTTGTTGGAGTCCTAGTCACAAGTCCTTCTCATGAGACATTTCTGTGAATAATGAGTCTCGTTGGGCTCATGCAGTCATGATATGAGTCACTCAAAATATTATTGAAAAGAAAAAGATATGTATTGCAAATGTTCATCCATTCAGATGATAAGGGAACAATTGCAAAGACATAAAGCCAAATTTGCACTCAATGCTTCAAACTATTGGCTTTAAAAAAAAAGAAGAGTTTACTATGTAGGATTTCAACAACAGAGGGCTCAATAGTGCCTGGAGTATTAAGATAAATGAGAAACATGCGAAAAGAGATTCCACAAATCAGCCACTTGCAAGGTTACGCACAGGGCAAGAACCAAGGTGCATCGGTGTGGCCAGATGAGGCAGGTAGGCGTGTTATCATGGTAGCCTGAGTAGTAATATTGCGAGGTTCCGTCGATTCCCCGGTTTTACCCGGTTCCAATATGAGAACCGGAACCGCGAGTCCAATCTTTTCGAGAACTGGGTACCCGCTATGCTCGGTTCCAGCTCCAAAAGAATCAGTTCTAGATTAAATTACCCATTCTCTGTGCACAAAGCCCAGAGCCGAGAATCGGCTCCATAGGAATTCACCCAGTATTGCTGTGAAGGCCCGGGTCCCAAGGGGAATTTTACTCTGGCTAGTCAAAACAATGGCGGGGAAAACCACAGAGACTCTCACATGATTTACGGAGAGTCGGAGACAAACCGATCAGCTGAGCTATTTGTGGCCACAAGGCATAGAGTATTGAACCCAATACTGTCCCTGTACCATGGATAATAAGTGTTTTGAATGACACAATCACTCATGGGGCCTGGCCAGGCCGATCTGGGCTACTTGGAACCCGCTGTGAGTGCTTGAATCGGCTCTGATGGACCCGGCTCTGAAAACGGCTCTGACGGACCCGGGTACGTGACTCGCTCCATGACTCGTTCCAAGCCGAGTATTTTGTACCTGTACCCGGGTCTGTCATAGCCGATTCCAGCTTGGAGCCGGTTCCAAGTATGCTCAGCACAGTTACAGTAGAGATTGAGTTTCGCTCGCATGGGTAGTATAGTGTACGTGTGCAGCGCAGTGAATCCTTCTATACAGGGTCGGCGGTCGTCGCGGTAAATAAAATCATAGGCAAGGAACAGAAAATAAAGCAATAAACGCTATGTTTGCTTTTAATAACACAATCTCCATAGTTTCGCAGGAAAACTACACACATTTGAAACAAATACGCAGTGGGATAGCATGTATTGCTCGTCGAAATCCCGGAGGATGGGGCGCACAAGGTGACACCGTTTACTTTACATGTAGTTTCAAGGGCTTATGTTTTTCTTTGAATTTTCCGGGAGCCGGTCCCGACTCGGAACCGGTTCTTTTTAGCGAACCGGAGCCGGCTCCAGAAATTCTGGAATCGCCCAACACTAGACCAGAGTAGCCAATTTGACTAAATTATTTGCACGGCTGTAACTGGAAAATTCATCAGCACTTTTGATTCAACGTCAAAACTGAAACAAACTTGAGTCTGAGTTCTTACAATACTCCTGTTCTTTTGATGCATTTACAGAATGACAGAATGAGAGAGACGCTGGAGAGTACAAGGACAAAACTGGAGGAAAGCCGACAACTGCTGAAAACTAATGAAAATGGTAGGGCTTTGTGTTGCAATCCCATCCATTCATGCTACTGGTCTGACAAACTGCCAGAAATAGAAGTGACAGAAGAAGTTTGGACCTGAAATTTTGGAGCAAGGTTTCTGTCTAGATATTGGAAATTGCTCCAGCAGGGGGCATAGCAGTGAGCACACTGAGTTGCCAGTAGGCTTGAATGTATGGCTGCGCTGTATCAGCAACATGAGATTATGGCTGGCCACACGGAGTATTACCCGCTCTGCAATATCGCGGTAAATACCCGATCTGTCACACGCACAAATCCGGCTGTTCATATTGTATGTACACGCAAACGTGTGTTCACTGTAGATCGTGGACGTCCTATTGTCCCTCTTTTGTTTGTACTCTAACTTTTTAGGAAGACTCCCATAGGTTTTGTACACGACCCCAATCGCGGACGTATGCTGGGAATCGTGGACGATATTGTTCTCTTTTGTTCTCTGGTATTTTTCGTCCACGGTTCTAAAAGATGAACACGTACGTGTGTACACACTGTATTGTAGGTGCACACGCACTGCCCGTACATGAGAGTCCAGCCCGTGCTCTGTAGGAGCACAGCATTGATTAGTCTGTCACTTCCGGGTTTTATGGTTCTCTTCACTTTGCATCGCGAATCTCAGGCAAATGGGGGGGGGGGGGGGGGGGTTTGAGGATATGGACATTTTCCAGTATGTTTTTAAACAGCGTGGTGCGTCCAATCAAGGGCCAATCAGATCCGTTCGATCGTAAGCAGCTCTTTATGGTTAATATAACTGCAGAACCTGGAAGTTACAGTTGTATCAAGGCTGTGGTCCTGACAGACCACGGGCTGGACTTTACGTGTACAAATGTACTGTGTGCATGCACTTTGTGCCAGGCTTCGTAGTACGATGTGATGGATCAGGGTTCGCCGTGTGTGTGGACCTGTGAGCCCGGTGTAATATGGCCATCAATGCCCGCACGCTGATCACACACACAGAATTCAAGGCTAAGTTGCCAGCTTTCTTTAAAATAGTTGTGTAACATTACCTTTTGGTCATGAAACCATTAATTTCCCAAAGCATGCAAGACATTGTAGCATATTTTTTGTTATTGTTTTGTTTTGTTTTTTGTAGTCATCAACTGGTTGAATAAACAGGTGAACGAAGCCCAGATGAGTAAGCGACATGGCATGTTTGAGGTTCCTACATCCACTGTGGCTTACAGACCCCAAGGGGTAAGTTGATAGGGCAGTATGATTGTGTCAGGATATTACTGTTTGGTTGGAAGGACAGAGGGTTGAGAAACTTTGAGTAGCAATCCCACGAGTCAATCACAAGTCAATCACAAGTCATAACACAAATCAAACCTCAAGTTGGGCAACAAGCAACAGTTCATGTGTTTGGCATGATTGGTGGACTTGCGCTATTACCTGATCGAGCAGAAATACATTTGTGCGATCGATTGATCCCGTAGGATATCTCAGACTCTACTTCCCTGATTAAAGACAATCCCCTTGATGAGCCATAAATTAGAAAGAAAAGGTGATGGACTGATGGCAGCGCGATCGACTGATTGCGCAGCGCCACCTATCTCACCCAACAGAGAAACTTTGACATAGGAATGGCTATGTCACAGTTCATAGTAGCTTGTAGAGGTATAGATAGATGTATGAAGCATTTGAATTCACTTCCCTTTGCCCTTCCCAGCCCAGGGGCTAATTTTAATGAAACTGGTAAGCACAACAATTTGCTAAGCACAAAACTACTTGCGTTTAGCAAAAGGTGACTTTTAGGTCACTAGCCAGATGTCATGCGGTGTATCATGCTGGGGAGTGGTTCTCGGCTAATTTTGTAAAAATGTGCTTATCAATAGTTTCTGCCAAACAGATTCATGCAATTGGGCCCTAGTCTACAAACTTAGGTATAATAGTTTTTGAGGACCTGTTCTTCCATAAACATTTGGCCAAGACAAACATCCTTTTTTTTTGGCTTCTAAATTATACACCTTCATATTGAGCATTTGTGGCTGAGAATTCCACTAACAAATGACAAGTACAATGTATACTGAACAATTTTGTGTAGACCCCACTCTGTTTGTTACAGGGATGTTCTACTGTACTTGTCTCCTCTTGACCAATTTGGTAGTCGAAGCGTTAACCAAGCCATCATGTTTGGTTTCTTCATTGTCCAGGTTCCTGCAGCAGTGTCCTCCAGCCGTCCATGGCCCATGTCTAGCACCCATCTCACCAACACCATGAGCACCATACCCCAGTCCACACCCATGGGCTATAACTCATCTACGGCTAGTGCACCCAGCACCTCCAAACGCAGGTAGGTCATAAATAGACCATTCCATTAACCCTAACGATCCCCATCCAGTCAAACTCCAACACCAGGGTTTGTTGGAATCTGTTAGGATGAGAACTGCATTAATAAACTGATTATGCTTTACATGGGGTCAGGCATACCATACAAAAACAGAGTCCAACTGTTTATGGGTGCGTTTGAGTAGCTCGACTGGATCGACTCGGGTTAGCCCTGTGCTGTTCGATTAGCTCTGACGTCATTCTCGTGGCTCACCCGGGTCAGCCACCACCGACCCTGCTTGTGGAACAGAGTCACTGGTGGAAATACGTCACACACATGCATTGTTCATTCTAAGAAACAGACAAATATGGCGGGCGGACAGCAGAAATCTGAAGTGGACCCAAAATGAACTTTATTGAAGTATAAAGCTAATTATTTATCGAGTTCATGTGACTTTAGAGGCTATAATTCCAGCCCTACTTTGTTATATTTTTTTTCAATTGACGGACAAGCAGTAAATCTCAACTAAGACCCGGTGCAAACCGGGGGTTTTGTCAGTGCATTGGCTGCGGCCACGGCTATGGACATCACACGAGAAAGCTCTTTTGCTGATGACGTCACCATGAGAAAAGGGTGTTGTTACATGGGTGGGGGCACAAGAACAGGTAGTTCTGCACCAAGTCTCGATAAAAACTGAAACACAGAAATACTCCAAAATACTTAATTTTTATGTGTTCATCATTGTTTCGGAGCCACTTATAGATTTTCCCCTTTCATGTCTTTCTCTAACCCTTTGAAAAAAATTTCCAACTGAATTGGTTTTTTTTAAATATATTTTTGGTTATATTTAGGTAGGTCAATATCAACTTGGTACTTAAGTTCAATACACTGTCTTTATTAATTGCAGTGAACCAGCACTGGACCCCAAGTACTTACAGCATCCCAGCCAGCACCACAGCCAACCCCCTGGCCAACACCCCAGCCAACACCCCAGCCAACACCCTGGTCAATACCCCACCGCATCTGCCAGGGATGGCGGGCCACTCCAGAAATCAGGACCTGTACCGCTTCAGTTGAGCAGCACCCCTATGGCTCCCACCGCCCCGGCACCATCCGTACCCCCACTGATGAGTGCCTATTTCCCTCCACAGCTCAAAGGGACCACCTGAAGACTAAAGCAGGGCCCAATTTCATGGCACTGCTAACCACAGAATTCTGTGCTTACGACACATTCTGTGCTAATGACACATTCTGTGCTTACGACACATTCTGTGCTAACAGCACTAGCAAAAAATTCTGTGCTAACACTAAGCACAGAATCCTGAGTTACTGGAAGTACGCATACATGTGCATCCGCCAAAATTTCTTGCTAACCTGTGAAATAGGCTTACCGTAAGCACATAATATTCTGCCACAGTAACTAAGCAGAACCATGAAATTAGGCCCTGGTTTGGAATATTGGTCATGTGTTTGGCAGACGTACAAAGATTGTACATGCCATTGGGTTACTGCATTGCGTTGGATTTGGACAGATGTTGGAACGTTTCTAGCACAAAATGATCAGTGAGTTTTGATATATTGACCCATAGAGTTTAATGACATAAGACCTACATTGAACTCTAACATTGCCCAAAACTGATGAAATCATCTCCATATCTGTAGAGACTACTAGAGAGACAGACGAATGAATTAGTCCTAACAGTGTCTAAAACACTCGGATATAGAGTCAGAGAACAGCCAGCATGGAATTGTCCGTGCAACCTCGGGCTCAACTTTATTGTAAATATTTACAGACACATAGAACTGTGTACTGAAGAACTAGGCCAATCAGACTAAAAGGAACACAGAACAGGTCTGGTCACCAGTCTACAATCAAGTTGGTGCAATGAAATCTGGTGAATTGTGTGTCCATCAGTTCACTTACAACCTAATAACGCTAAGGAATACATGATGACAGATATTTCATATACATGGATTTTTCATATACATGTATGTTATGCATGAGATAAACAATCACTTATTTGTTTGACTGAAACATTACATCACGATGTAGTTTTCCAATTGGATTGGATGCACTGAATATTAGATGTATTTAACATTTCAGCAAATAAGTTTCATAATATAAGATAATAATTGTATTATACCTACTTAATGAACTAATGAAGTTGTACTTGTCTTTTTTCCCTGAAACTAAACTAAAGGTTGAAAAACCCCAAATTTTGATTTGAATTTTGTGACATACATCAAACCGCTTTTTTGTCTGTGATATTTCAGGTAACATACTTATTGACTGTAAAATATTTTACACTGGACACAACTTTGTAATCGTAAGCTTTTGTATGTTCTGATCATAGGTTTTGACATTGTGCATACTGTACATTTGCATGAATAGCTTGATTTGTTAAAGCTATAGTCCATCATTTGCAGCTATCTGAAAAGTAACTGGCGTAATTATTGTTGAAAAACATACTTGGTTGAAAGATAGTAAGGGGACTAAACTCCCTGTGAAATTATTCATTCTGGCAAGCTGTCATTTTGAAGTAATCAACGAAAGAAGGCCATTCCAACGGTGCGTCTTAAGACGCACAGTAGGAAAATTGAAATTAATAGTTTGTTTTGTTATTCGGCGCAGCGCGCGCAAGCATTGGCACGACGCACAGGCGCGCGCGGTTTTTGAACACTTTTGTTGCTTCAAACCGAACAAAATGCACAAATTACAAATGATGGACTATATCTTTAAGAAACCTTGAGTTGTTTTGTAGATAAGGACAATTATCCAAAATTTGCGCTGTAATGACAGCAGAGATGTGCGTTGTGCACTTTATTTTTACAGCATGAGGTGCACTTTATTTCAAGACCGAGCACTAACATGGAGTAATAAAAGTATTGAAGTGAAGATAATTTAATATTTTTGGGCCAAATAATTGTTTTATTTGTGTAAGCATGGACCACTGCACTAATCCCAGTTTCTCCCACTCAGTGTAAACATATGCCTACTTCAGATGTCAAATTACAGGGCTAGAGATAGCACTTTAAAACAGTTTTAGCATGAAATCCATGCATAAATAACCCGGCTGCCCCCCACCCCCACCAGTGGTGACAGGCAGAGTTGAGTTGACATCATAGACTCCGTGCACAGGTACCCCCTCGGTGCTTACTAAGAGAGACTTGGGGGGAGATCACTGTGCCTCAACTTGCGATAAGACGTTACAGGTTGGAGCACATTCAGATTAATTGCAACATTACACATGTAGCGTGCGGCATGGCACTTATACATGTGTAACAGTTTGTGCATCCTCGACCCCAATATGTGTGTACTTCAACTAGACCATCGCCAGCTCCGGGCATTCGTGGTGGTGGGGGGGGGGGGGGGGGGGGGGGATAGCACCAACTAGGGGCCACACTACAATTAAAAACACGTAAATACATTTACATGGATTTTGCTGATTGGGGTGCAATTGCTTGGCCAATTGCCCCCCCCCCCACCCCCCATTGACTGGCCTGGACTAGACACGGCAAACCCAGCATGTGATAATAAACAAGCCACACCATGCTATATTGGGGCCACTGACAGACAAAACATGACTGTCTCGTGACTTTACTTTGCATGCATACTTTGCGAGTATGTACAATCTAGTACGCACATGCGGTGTGTCGCCCCAGTACTGGGGTCCGGATAGTGGTCACAACGCGCCATCTAATGTTCATGCAGAGAGTCCATACGCCATGCACCAATTAAAGATGCTACTGGTTTAATCACAATGAAATGAAACCTAGTCATGAATGTGAACACACATACTTGTTCTGTAGTTGTGGGGACAAAACTCATCTGTACGAGGTATCTGCGAGGACCGAAAATGCGGTGGGGACAGTAGAAAGTCCCCACAACTCTGTCCTACTTTGCCTAACAATAAAAAACTTCCCATAACGCGGTGTAGGCCTGCACATTGGGCCATACTCACACACAAACCCACCCATTTGTTTATGGTGTAAATCAAGGATTTTCTATTGTTCCTCTTTTTTCCCCCTTTGTTTATACTTTTTGCAACAGCTCTCATTGGTTTTGTACATGTTTTCCAACCGAGGAGTCCTCGATTCATCAATGATGTTGCACGTGTGTGTCCTCGATTTACACAATAAACAAACGCCTGGGTGTGCATGACGCGTGTCCCATGATACACCAAGCTCTTGTGAGTACATGCACTTCGTACACAGAGTCAATAGAAAGAAAGGAGTGGAGCATATATGGCTTAACGTTAGTTATAGTGGTGAGAAAATACGCAATAGGCAATGAAACAAGGACAAAGCTTCTCACCCTGTAAAAAATCTCTTTTTTTTTAATAGAATTTTTCACAAACATCTCACTTGGATTCATTTATAGGCACAAATGCCATTCTTTTCTGTGGAACAAGAAAAAGAGACATAAATATTATAAACTCTTACCATAGAAAAATCCTTTCCTTCTTTATGTACAGTTGCTATACAAAACGTGCTGCTCCAAAAACACAGCTTCAATCTTCACAAGAAATTTACAGGGTTTTGTTTTGTACATTACAACATTATAAAGCCAATACAACAGCAGTTAAGAATATACAATTTTTTTTAAAGTTTAATATTTAAAGATATACAGAAATGTTGTGGATAATACTTTATACCTCTACACAGAGCATATATAAATTATCTAGGTTTACTAACAATCAGGCAAATAAACAAAAACAACGAATTGCAACTCCTCCCTTGACAATAACAGATAAAAAAAAAGGACATTCCAAACTCTTTCATGGAGAAAATTAGGCAAAAAAATAATATAATTAAAACAGAAAACCACTCACAACTTAAATTTCTACTCACACTGAAAAATCGTTACCTTCCAGTTTGGTAACAAATGTGACTACTCTGCTTAGGGTCTGGTTCATTGCTCTGGCAAGTGCGCATTTGCGATTTTTGAAATGAAATGAGCTCCGATAACTGGTATTTCAATTCTTGAAGGTATGGATGATTTGGAATTGTTTGGCAGCCGTAGCATGACCAAAACAAATCCCAACACTGCATTATAAATGCACAAACTCACTTCAACAGAAAAAAAAACATTCATAAAATCAAAAATAATCTTAATTTCAATTTCAGTTTTGATTAGGCTTGATACCCACAAAAAGTAGTGTGTGTTTTTTTTGTGTTAATTCCAAATAGTTACACTGGACAATGGATTTTTTTTTTTTTAAAATATCTTCAAATGTTCAACATAAATGTTGACCACGACTGGACGTTTGGCTTAACAAGAATGTGGCTTTCTTCATTAAATCCTTCATCTTTCAGTTAACACAAAACTGTCTTAGGCTGACAGTACTTTCCAAAAGAAATTCAGCACTACGATTGGTCACTTGACAGTCATTTGCAAACTAACCTCATAATATGGGGAAGTAAATAGTCAATTGTGAAATGTTTTAAAACTGCATTAAAGACTTGAACAGTTCCGAGTATTTAAGAAGCCTTAAATGCGAACAATCTTCAGAGACTAGTGGTTGGAACAATTCCATGTAAGAAAAGTTGATAATAAGCTTAATAAATGCACTCAAAATCCTTCAAAAAAATGGAACTTCAAAATCCAAACACTCCCAACTTGTTAAAATTAATGCTGTTTACATTAAAACTCACCGTGTGTTGGGCGCCAACTAATTTGGTTATTCCAGTATACTGACTAGAGAATTTTTTTTAGACTGATATACATTCTAGATAAACTTTTGTTGCAATGTTTCTGATTTTTCTAAAAGTTGAACGAGAATGCTTTGTGTTCCTCTCAACTTCAGATTTGTGTGAGACAACTGTAACTGTCATCGGAAATATGGAAATTAACAAGGAAGTTCAATTTGTTTAAATAACAGCAGGAAATATAAACAACATGTAGCAAGTTTGGATGATTTGCAGCTGCAGTATTAAATTGTTCTGTACCATACAAGTTCATTCCTTTCTATGGTTATACGTTCAAAATAATCTGATATGAAACAGTTTACAAGCTTAAAATGTATTCAGACATTACAGGCATTTGACCTTTATGGGGCTGTGCATTTTAAAATTTGCATGACAAGATAAGTCACATGTCCACCTAATGTGCTGACAAGATAAGTCACATGTCCACCTAATGTGCTGGCAAATAGCCTATCAGCCATCTTGGTCTTGTCTTAACTAGAATATACAATGCACAGTGCTCTAACGTTACCAGGATGGACCTTAAAGATGTCTTGTCTGTGCGCTTTCCAAGTTCCCCCCGACCAACCATCAGTTATGGAATTACTAAGCTGGTTCCCAACCCCTATCATAGCATCAATAATGCAGAGACCGGGAACCAGCCTAGTGCAGGGCAGATTTATTTCTGTTTATTAAAATAAACAAACAAGCAAATTAAGAATTCATAAGGAGAGAAAAAAAACATGATTTGAGCCAAGGTGTTCTTTAAATCACAAAGTGGACCTTTTAAAATGCAAGCACGGAGTGCAAAGCTTTTACAGCGTGGGGTGCTGGGCCCCGAAAAAGTTTGGATTCTAGATGCTCTGAGGCTTTTCCTGGACACTTTCTTCTACCTTTTTAGGGGATGGGGGGGTTCAAAAGTTGATATTTTTGTTGGGCAATTTTTTTTAATTTTTAAAAAAAAAATTCTGAGTGGAACTCATCACCGAGAAGGGGGGTTCGTTTGAAACCCCGCCCCCCGTAGCGTATGGGCCTGCTACATGCTTACAGGCACAGACAAAACATCTTTAAAATTATATGGTACAGCACAAAGAGGAATCTGCAGAATGATACACATCTACTGATCATGCACTTCAATAATAGACTAGTGAATATAGAACATTGCAATATGTTCAAGTGAATATAGAGTATTTAGCTATACATTGTGTGTACCAATATGTATAGCAAATATACATGATAAGGGTTGCCTATATGTAATATGACTATCATTACGATTCCACATGAAATTGCTGTTAAAATCATGCATATACATACAGTATAATGCTTTCTATGGAATTCTATAGCTTGAATGGCAAAAACGCTAACACTACAATATATTTACTGTGGCTAAAACCATGGCATCTACAGAACAATATATGTGGTGCAACAACAGTTTAAAAACATTCTGTTTACATTATGATGTCATTACTGAAGACATGTGCGTGGATATGAATACGACTTGATTAAGATACGAATGGCTGTATATGTTGTACTCTGTATATAAAATGCTGTACATTTGTTAACTACGCAATCTTGCTGTTTTGAACAATTTGAAACTTTGCTGTCCGATACGAGCACTGTATAAATTTAGCTTCTATTCAGTTTTTGAAAGTGGGAACAAAATTGTGAACACTTTTAAAACTGGGTTAGTTTCAGCATAAATGTTGTTATTTAGTTAAAACCCTGTGTTTTATTCTTATAACACAACCACTCATGTTAGTTTGTCCTTTACTTGTGAGACATCATTACACAGACTGCATGCTGCTCTTATCAGCTTCAAGTAACACAGTGAGCTCACATGATGGGGGTTCGAATCCTGCTAGAGTCTCCCAAGAACTTAATTGTAGCAAAGCTATAGTAGGTGGTTCTTACAGTAGGAGTTTTTACAAGGCATTTGAAGTCACACATTAAAATAGGATGATTGGACAATAGCAGAGAGGCAAATCCATTACGTGACGTTACTGCTAAGGTAGCAAAACACTATGTACAGTGCAGCAGACAAGTATCATCAAAAGAGAAGTTTTTCACAACAATTTCATCCGTTATGTACAAAGGTAATAAGTGCAAAGTAAACTGAATGACATAATGGCATCATAACAGTTTAATAAATTGACATAAGAAGTGAAATTGAGATACCAATTAACACATGTCTGCCTTCTACCTGTTGTCCAACATAAAAAAAATTCACAAATATTCCTCAAGTACAGTTTACAAATCATTCCGTTACAAAAAGGACAAATTTGGAAGACGGAATTGGCCTGAAATGGAGTTGCGTTAAACAAAAACAAAAAATATCGAAGTCATAACAGAACTTGAAGATCATGATCGTAAAACATGACATTCATTCCCTAAACATGAGTGGGCATCCAGGTGTGGCATCCAGAGATCTGTCACATATTTACCAGAATTGCATTTTGATAGCTTTCCAGATAATGTGAGGAGGATTCAGCTTTCATTGAGTCACCATCCACCGTTCATGCCCACAAAAAGTCAAAAAAATCCTTTCGTGCATGATGGAGCAAACTGAGGAAAACTCAATTCGTCAAGGAAAAGTTAACATATATACATACTTTGGTGAAGCTGAGACGACTCTGAATTACACAATGATATATACAATTCATTCCAGTTACTTTCAATTTGCTCATTGTGTATGTCACCGTTAAACAAATCCCTCTGTCGACATAACATGAAATCTGTGCTTAGGAAGACTACGCTTTTCACCCTTGTTTAACATACATGGAATACCTTCATGTACAGATATAAAAATGTCAACCTTTTTATTTCTTCCTGAATAATTACGAATAGGCAAAAAAAGTTCAATTAAAGCACAAATTCCATCTGATGCCTTTAATTATAAGAAAAAGCATGCATCAATTTAAAAAGACAGTGGTTCCAAAAAAAAATGCTGGTAAATGGCAAGACAGATACATGCAAGGTTTTGGGCTGATGAGCTTGCATTTTTTCCCCCTTTTAAATAACTTGATTTTCTCTGTTGTTTAAAAACTAACTAACTACATGTACAAGTATGAACATGCCAAGAATATGGCTCCATGCTTTGATTTATGTTGTTCAAATTTAGACAAACTTGGCTAATTCCCAAACCTAAAAAGAAGAAAACTCAAGTCCAGTTCCTTTATTATTCTTGATTCATAAATACTTTGGACAGTTTAATTATTCCTATTGGTTGGTTTTAAACTGCCATTTAAACATACAGTTGAGATGTGAAAAACCAGTTGAGCGACCCCATGCACTGGGCCACAGTACGCTCCAAGCACGCTGGCTACAACCAAGTGCTTGACAACCACTGAAATGATCTACATCAGTTATGGTGCAATGGGCGCGACACCACACGCACAATAGAAATGGCCTGACATAGAATAAATTGGTGGAGCCAAATTGTTGGAATTTGAAAAAGGTTTTAGATTGAAAAGGTATTTAATGAATGGAGATACCGGTAGAAGTGTCCTGGAGCAGTTATGAACATGATGTTCAAAACCAGTTATAGGCGTGGTCGCCGTTAACTGATCTTGCCTTCGGTCTGGGGTCATTATTGGCAACCATGCCCCCAACTGGTTTTACACCACACGTCTATGACTGCTACGTCACATTATTATCCCCTTATAACCACTGTCTTTGATAGAGATAGGCATGGAAAGCATTCTGACACAAAGCTGACTGCATTGAATGTTAGTCCCAATATCACACACAATTTTCTCTGCAAAATCCTTTCATATCTCTCCCCCCCCCCCCCAAGTCTAAAACTTGATCAACAGCGCTGGCCTGAAGAATTCAAGGGGAAGAAAATGAGGGGGAGTGGAGGGGATGTGGTTTTTAACTTCAGCCTCCAGCTCTGGGTTACCAGATGCAAAAGTTGAAGGGAGGAAATTACATTTCCGGGGCAACGGCATTTTAGTAGTTCAAATGAGCACCAGTTAGAAACGACCTACTTTCAGTATGACCTTCAAGTGTCCATCTCCATGGCTACCTGTCCAATGTTTCACTAAAATGCTTTCCATGCCAACCCAAGATGTAAACTGGTGCATAGATAAAACATTAATGTGATACATTTTATGGTTACAGTATTTTGCATGCATGATTAAATGCAACATATGATATTTGGTTACATGTTTCTTTATGAAAGTCAACTTGTGCATACATTAACTATGTAGGCAAAGTCTGGGTACAGTTAAGGGGTTCATCTAAACAATTTCATATCTTGGTTTCCAACCTACAATGGAATTAAAATCATTTGAATATATGCATTGTATGTGGATAAATATGGGGCATGCATGTGAATTAGGGTGGTAAAATGGTTAAGTAAATATATGTCATTTATGTACACACGATTGGCCACCAGAGGTGTTAAAGCACACTGACGAACAGCAATGCAGAAAAGAAATGACTTACTAAATCTTGATTAGTATCTTTTTATAACTTTTGAAGTTAAGTGCTGGGGAAATATGACCCTTTCTTTTTATGAAAACTTAATGAAGTGAATTTTTTTTGTTTTGTTTTTATTTTGCCGAATATAGTCACAATTCCAATTTTTTTTTAACAAATCTCTTAAAAATATTTTATTTTGTTTTCATCATCAATTTTTTTTTTCTTCATATTTCAAGATTTTTAAATAATCAAATGACTAAAAACAAATTCGATGATATGTACCATATCAGTAAAAACATTATAGCTTTTATATCACAATACCCTTAGAAAGCACATTTTGGCTTTTCATTCAATTTCAGAGTCATATGGGATACAATGATAAAAAAAATCTATATTGAGATGCAATAAGCTAGAATTGCGATAAGAAAAAGCTCTGATTAAAACAAAAAAATTAAATGTCTCTCTCTCTCTCAAACAAAAAATAATAAATAAAACATAAGCTTTTAAAGCATTTCAAACACAGGGACTGTACAGAATACAATATTATTCATAATATTATAAATATATCTCAATAGGGCACTTCAGCATGCATTTTTTTTTCTTATCTTACAAAACAAAAATTTCCCCTGAATATATACCACAAAACAAAACTTCACAGCACAAATTGAGGAAGACTGGGCAGTATGCCAATCCTGTAAAAGATGCAACATTGCAGATGTCTTGATGTCAGTATCAGAAGGCGAACGTTGTTGTTGGAGTTTCCAGCTTGTAAGCATTGCAGTAAGCGGAGTCAGCAAAGAATGATGTATCACTTCATGGATCATGTTTAGCTGACATGACACATGTTTTGGTCTATGGAGTTCACTGCAGTCAGTCATCTAAACAGAAGCTGCCATCCAAGCTGTGCATACCAATGTTGTAGTACTTTAGGGGTAGGTACCCTCAATAGTAAGTTCCAATTGGTTGGCATTTGTATTCAATAACAATCTTTTACTGATCTCAGACACATACAATAAACATGCCTTGTACTTAAAGTATGTGACTTCAACACCGTTTCATTGTCACTCCAAGCCGCCTGACTTCACTCCAGATTCATGACTCAGTTGGAAGCAAACTGTCCATGTTTGTTTCCGATACTGAGAACTGTGACTCTAGTTGCTTGTCTCATTTACTCACTGTGGGTGTGACGGCATTACTAGCAGTCTCCATCGGTTCCGCTGTGAGGTTGACGGGCAAAAATCTCTCTGCAAAACAGCAGTACAAGAGGAATAAACAATCGATTAATGGAAGTTTATGGATAAAACATTGCAAGATACTACAAGGTACTTTCTTATATTCCATCATTATGGCATGAGGCTTTACCCTAGCCGCTTTGCAGTGGAGGTGGCTTCACTTTATAATATAGCGGTGATGTTGGGTTTATTACAAAATATCCTTGTGAGAAAATAGGTAACTTAGTAATGCGCTGAGAAGCAGAGAATTTCATGTCCAACAGGAAAGCTCACAGTAATCTTGATTTATTCATTTCTTGCCAAGCGTACACATGCAAGTCACACCTTTATATATTATGACTTATTGGAATGTGTACGAATTAAGATACATTTGTTCGATGCTGTGATGTGGGGGGGGGGGGGGGGTAGAGACAAATGCCGTAGCACACACTACACCAATCACCTACTTTTCAAGCCTATGTAGGTGACAAATGTCGTATCCATTGATCTCCATTGGTAAGACTGGATAGGACACGCGTATACTTGCGCGCAGTGAAGATTCGGAAAACGCAGACACAAACAGCTGGGTAGTACAGTGCGGGTTTAACGTTTGTGACCGTGCATGCGTGACGTGCGTGTGCTGCATGGTCTGTGTGTGACGAACACATTTCAAACTTTCAAACCCTCACCGATAGAAAACGTGTGCGTGAACAAGAGGGCGCTGTGTCCTATCCAGTCTTACTAAATGGAGATCAATGGTCGTATTCCACACTACACTAATCACCTACTTTTTAACCCTATGTAGGTGACAAAATAACGTATCCCACACTATACCAATCACCTACTTTTCAAGCCTATGTAGGTGACAAATAATGTATCCCACACTATACCAATCACCTACTTTTCAAGCCTATGTAGGTGACAAATAATGTATCCCACACTATACCAATCACCTACTTTTCAAGCCTATGTAGGTGACAAATAATGTATCCCACACTACACCAATCACCTACTTTTCAAGCCTACATGTATGTAGGTGAGGTGTACATCCTTCATATGTGACAAAGGTTTGACGTTTATGTGTAATGTCGATGTCAAATTGGGCTATGGGCAACTATGGCTTCCCTTCATATAAGGGTGCAACAAGTATCTGCAAACAATGGTGAGACTTACCCCCACAGCTGAGGAATGCTTCCTCACTGGTTGCAGCTGCTATTAAACCTGATTCAGTCAAAGAGAAAAAGCCAACAATAAAACCAATGATGTAGTCAAGATCTTTTTCAAGACCTCACACAAATGTTCATACAATGGAACATCTGATTTGATTTAAATTCAATGAGGGTGAGCACAGATAAGTTATGCTTGACTTTGAACATACAATTCAGTTGGGTTGTTTTAATGTTAAATTAGGATTTTAAGTTATCATTTTATCGGGGCAATTAACCTGTAAAAGTCTCCAAAAGGTCTAGATGAGATTTTGGCTTCTGAAAATAACTTTTTAAATCCAACATTAGAACTAGCGATGAAGTCACTTTTTTTTTTAAAGGCCTTACACAAATGTTTACACAATATAACATTTTTTTAGCTGTGGGATAGCAGCTCAACAAATCATCGTGTTTCTCCATTAGTTCGTAAGTTAGTAACAAACGTTGACATTGTCCATTGCTTCTACATACTTTGACTGATTTCAACCAAACTTTGTCAAAAGTATCAGTAACCCAGCCCCAACATGTCACATGACCAAACTGGGGTCAAAGGTCATCATGGGGTCACTGGGGTCAAAAACCTGATTTTTTTTACTCAAAACACTACTCTTTCCAGAAATTACATGGCACAATCACATGACTCATGCATGAACATGAATGTGTTGGCCCGCAGCTTCCGAGATCCGATCGAGCTTGTTTTAAGACAAATGTGCATTAGCAAAGACTCGTAATGCTTTGACTTTCAACAAATAATGAACAGTGAACAAATTATTTGTATTCCTCACTAGAATATTTGAATAAAATGTGACCATGTGCTTAAAAATGGTAACGTGAATAAAAAATAACATTTTGATGTAACATGCAATGGTCTCTTAAAAACATAAAACTTATTATTCAAAGATAAGCAAAATATGTAGGCCCCTTTAACACAAATATAACTTTAATTCAAATGCAAAGAGGGGAAAATAATAACAATAATAAAACAACATATTTTGATCATAAATCAGTTAGTGATGTATCAGATCTGCCCTGGCATACAGGATATCCTGATCAGAAATGACAATAACTGTGCCTGGCAGCAAGCCAATCACGTTTTTAAGTTTTTAGTCTTTCCTCGTGGGGTCGGCCAGGGCTGGCCCTTTTCCTGCTTCAAGGCCACAAAATCTCCAGCAGCGGTATCGTATATTAGATATGAGTTGACTCATCTCCCAGCTGTTCAGCTCATTAAGCCGCAAAGGGGATTGATCCAATCCATAAAGTACTAGAAACCACACGTCATCAATCCCTGGGCTGAATACCATTTCTGGGAACTTCCCAGATCATATGATCTTAATTCTTGGCAGGTGAAAGCTAGGTACAATTACTGGGGATTTTATTTTCCCTCAAGTGCAACATGGCCTTCAAATCGCCTACGTGGCAAATACATTCCATATGTGGCGTACTAGGAATAATTTGTTTGTAAAGAATTGTTTGAATGGGGTCAGAACATGATTAATTTATGTTAACATGATTAAGGGAATTAGAAGGTTTTAAACATTATGTTTAAGATCGGTTGAGTCAGGATGCTGATAATTACCCGAGCCGAAGGTTTTCGGTCCAAAAGTCAAAACAAATCAAAAAATAAAACTTCCCAACGATTTTGTTCAACAATCTAACTTCACGTTTTTCGAAACACCCCTCTAGCTAAATAATGGAGTGTCCGGCTTGCGAGTAAGATGTAAAAAAACCTCCTTTCATAGAGATTGGCGCGCGCGTCGCGCATACTGCGCGATGTCATGCAGATGCAGCTGTGGGGAGTGCGTTGTGAATTTAGGACTATGAAATACTAACTCACGGGTAGTATTGCGCATGCCTACGTGAGGATTGTGAACGTTCAACCAATAAAACGGTAGAAGGCACCGGATTTCATAGGAGTCCAAATTTCATGTGACACTGGAAAAGTGTTTACGACCAGCTAGCCATGTCTTTATCATCTGTTTAAGACCGGCCACGTGTCGGGCTCTCGACCAATGGGAATGGGTAAACTGTCTGAGGTATTCATGAATGATGATTTAAAGCTCTCTCTCTCTCTCCACAAAACTCATGAAAATGGTCTTTTCAGAAGAAATACACTGATCAGTCTCCAACAGGTACCACATTAGCTCGCTGTATACACAGAGTTAAAAGCAAATTGTCTTACATCACAACAAAATAATTTTAAGTTCAACAAATGTGAAAGGATATCCATATGGCATCACATTAGGAAAAATGATTACAGAAAAGAGAAAGGAAATACATATCGGCTGAGACTGAACTTGATAACAATGTTAAATATCTCACCAGACAGCATGGTATAATCTGTATTCTCATCGAGTGAAATCAGGGGCGTCGTCCAACGTGGGATGGGTGTCGATCGAGGCGTAGATCTGGGTGTGGCCACCGGGGAGGTAAGAAATCCAATCGTTGTTGGACTGATATTGATAGGACTGATACTGGGGTAGGACAGCACCTGAAATTAATTACCACAAAAAAAAAAAATTGTAAAAAAAATAGGAAAGCTGTGAAGCAAACATGTAATGTACTACAGCAAACCAACATATACAACAATGAAAAACACTATGTACATATTTTTTTTTTCATGCGAATTTAATGTCAAATGCAAGATGCCATAGACTTTGTGAGCAGAGATGCAATGTTAATTACAAAAAGCAGGCCAATTTGCTAAAGTTAAAAGAAATGTGTATTAATCATTACTGTTAGCAAAGCGGGATTGAGTATATATGCAAGTTCTTTTCCCTGCCTACCATCAAAACTTTATGGTGAGAGGGGTTCACTTTGGAAAATATGTCAGGGTGTACCCTACAAAGTGGATTTTAAATGCCTTTAAATGTAAAGACATTTACGTCTAAGTGACTAGCAAATTTTGAGAGTAAAATATTCATGCATCCACCATTAAGTATGCAGATAAGCCTTTTCCATGAATTGTACTCGAAGCAAAAAAACACTCTGATTGCAAGCTTTAAATTTCACGGAATTAATCACCACATGATGTGTTCAAGAGTACTTCGAGGTAAATTTGTAAATTAAAGAGTACTTTGAGTACTCCCATTATGCTTCGTTCCTCTTGAAGATGCCTAAAGGATATGTAAGATTGTGGTTCTCAAATATTGCCTAACTTGAATTGGTTGCAGTGGCTTAGGAAATAACTGAAATACATTACTAGAAAAGCAGAGACATTGAGATGGCAGAACTTGGGAAGTTCACTGCCATACTTTTGATAATTAGCGTATGGGTGATATAGTTTTTAAACACTGTTTCTATGGGGTTTAGTTGGGGTGCAAGGTCAGGGAGACAATCTGGAGGTTTCCACACTAAGACACACCTGTTGTTGGTGGGCATGGACCAGGCCATTATCAGGCCTACTGGTACCCAGGACGGTGAAGGGACTCGTCATGATGCTCCTACTTACAGGGGGTGTGGTCGGATAGGAGGAGACGGCAGCTGAACTGGAACTGGACGATGAGGGTGTACAGGATGAAGACGCTAGTGATGAAGAGGAGACTGTATAGACACAGCAATGTGGGATACAAGACAAAAGCCATGATTCAACGCTATCCAATGGCTTCATACTCACACACCCCCATCATCAAACAGAAAACACACCGTTTACTTCATGTAAAGCAACAAATCAAGACTTGCTCAAGACTTGCTCAATTTGCTCTGGACGTCTCGGATTAGGTATGTCTTTTTGATCTACTTTCTTAGATGTGCAGAATAGCAACCTCGCATGTAATGTTATACAAACGATGAATGTTTATGAGTGCAATGGTAAGAATAATTTCATGAGGTGATAGATGAAATGTTCCATTTCACGAGGCGAAGTTTCATACAACACCTGAATAAATCCTCACCATCTGATATAGTGTGCCGCGTTTTCTCTTCTCAGTCCTGAGTAAAATTGCGACAAGAAGTTGCTCAGTTGTGAATCAGTATAATGCTTCAACAGATGTTCCTGTATGTTTTGCAAATTTGTCTAATTGTTTAGCAGCATATTTTATTTGCTTCTTTGTGTTAGCAGCTGACCTACAAGTTCTGATATTTCATCTTCTGTTAGGAGAACAAACATTGTTTCAGTCTCGCGTAACGTCCGCATTTTGTGAAATAGATTCGTGTCACAGCGCCACCATCGGCAGCACTGAATCCGTGTAATGGAAGTTCTATTCACAGTGCTATAGAACTTCCATTGCACTGTGCGCTGCGCGCTGTGCGTTGGGATGAATAATTCAATGACATGTGATCAACGATCTACCAATCAGATGACGGGGATTCATTCAGGTGTTGTATGACCACCAACTGCCTTGATGTCACTCATAAAACAAACGGTTGGGATTGGTTCTATTATACATAGTTTTCTTCAGTTACATGCCAATACTGAAAAACCTGATTTGAGTACAAGATGACTGTGCGTGTATATAGTACTGCCTGTATTCTTAGACTAAAGAAGAGAGACACCTAGGATATCAGGTAACTTCATGAGAACTTTGACACTGCAACTTGCATCCTTAGACACAGTCACACGTTTTGGAAGATTGAAATTATTCTGTCATGTGTGTATATCGGTAAATTGGTAATGTATGTGAAACATTTTTTTTGGCCATGCAGCTTACAATGTACATGCACAACTTAAGCAAATTGTGAGGAAGTTTGTAGCAGCAAATGTACCGGCCCACCTGCTCTTTCATGCACATCATCATTCTCGCAGGATATCATAGTCAGTTCATGTCGAGTCATTGTGGAAAAACTGCAATATACTACAAACTCGTCTTTTGTCGAACAATGGGAGACTTTTGAGACGTTGGTGGCAGCAAACATACTGGTCCTTTTCACTTGTTTATGTCACGTTAAATCTAAAGCGCACATGCTCAATATGATGCGAACAATGGAAAAAGGAATGGTGTGTTTGCTGCCACCAACGTCTCAAAAGTCTCCCATTGTTCATGAAATTCTTTAACAGATGTGAAACATGTCCATCTGTTAAAAAATGTCAAGAACGTTGGGGGGAAAAAAATCAAATGACAGTCAACTTCTGCATTGTCACACAGCTGTTTTTCATTGTCTTCTGGAGTAACTCTGTTGAGGTGCTGATTGGTACTCTAAGCACTTTGTCTGTCCAATCAGAATGTATCATGTAAACTATTTTTCTATCCATGACATGCAGAGAAAGTCAGAGTTTGCAACTACAAACATATAAGCATGAACAAGCTTAGCTCTTTAAAAAAATGTCTTACAAGTCAAAATGCAAGCAGATATGCAAGCAAGCACAGCTCTCGAAGTAGCAATGACAAATCACAAATTTTCTTGAGTCACCAACGTATTTTCAAGGTTACATTATATTACAGTCACCTCAACTATGGCAACCTATCAACAAGATATTTGAGGGTGTTAGCATCGAGTGTGTTATTCATTCATTTGATTATCTAAGGCGGCCAGTTTTCATATGCAGAGCAGTACATAACAAACAGTTACAAAGGAAGAAATGCATAAATGTCCTTAAACCAACAAGATATGATGCCAAAAACTCTCAAATTGTAGGTTTCAGTGCTTCTTCAATTTCAATTTTCTACAAGTTGAAGTGTGCAAATTTGTAGGCCTTGCCCTAAATTGCTAACACTATTTGCTTATAGTTTAATACAGGATCACACATAAACCCTGTAATACCCAAACTCATATCAGAACTTGGACAGCGGCCATGCAAGAGGAAATAAATATCACCCGTTTCTCCCCAAGCAACCCCCAGATGGTTTTATTACTCCCTAGTTTCCCAGGCAACCAGCTGGGCCAATGACAAGCATGAATCATCAGCAGGTCCTAATTGGCCATGACATTCAAGGGGGCCTGTGGCACGCACCGCTGCCAGATCATGTGACTTCCTGTGTGCCCCGCGGATCAGCTGATGGGCATTGTTCAGCAATTTGCTCCTCCAGTGGAGTTTCCGCGTGGAAATTGAGGGCAATAAACTTTTCGGATTGACAACTTCTTCCCTTACACAACTGCAGCCTCAACAGGGTTTTCATGCAGGGTTTTTCATTCTTGCAAGTACTAGTTGTTGCTTCGTATCTGAAGCCACAATTTTTCACTATTAGGCATGCACAATTCTTAAAGGTACTTTAAAAGTATCTCTGCAGAGTGATCCGAGCCTTCAATCTTTTTTGGAATTTGGCCTTTCTTGAGTGCCTTGTTGCTGAGATTTCAGACATCCCTGATCATGATTCAGCAGACTCACCTTGAGCACTAGTTGAATTAGGAACGCTGGTTTGACTGGTCACACTGGACAGGGCACCAGTTTGGCCGATGGCGGTGGCTATGGCAACCGGTCGTGCCATTGGAGGGGGAGGGGGTGGTGGAAGCATTGCCGTTGGGATGAAGCCAGCTATCTTGGTGGGGCTACTCGTGTTGCTGACTGCACTACTTTTTATCTGAGATTTAAAAAGGGTTAAAAGTTCAAAAGTTTGTAAAATTCATGTATTTGAAATTCAGTGTTTTGAAATTCAGGTATCCAAATCAAAAGCAAATACATCTGTGTACAGTTGTATGCACGAATATTTATTTTTGTTTAAATCAGAAGGTAGTTGATTCAAACCAAATGGTTTTAATTTGTCAACAAAGTATGAGGTATGTTTGTTTCTCCATCTAATTGCATAAAAAATGATTGAGTCATGACAAACATTGACAGATACTGTGAAATTCTAGTCAGTTTGTCCAAGCTGAAGAGGACTTTTTCCAAGCAAATAACTGCTAGGTATGAAGCAGTTCTAATTTTCTGGTATACTTTTGTGTTTTTACTAATTCACATGTTAGGCATGTGGACTATCTGCAACTGACAGTCACAGGGATGCTTTGCAAGTGTTTTTAGGGACATAAATTACTGTTTTATGTATTTCCTTTGTGAACAATACAAAGTTGTTGAATATTCATGGAAGAGCTGTCAAATTTATCTTGAAAAGTTTTATTATATATATAGTTTGACTAAAAAACAAGCTCCCATATGGGGCATGTATTTAATTTATTCATGAAAAAAGGTGGGCAGTGATTATCAACCCCTGTAAAAAACAACCAAAAAAACCCAACAAAAACAAACAAAAACCCTAAGGTGCCTTTTTTTTATCCTAGGCAGCCATTCTGGTTCTGGGCTACAGGTCAATCGATGGTTTCACGTCTATGGCTATGAAGAGGATGATGTGATGGACTTACTTGCTGCTGGTAGGCATCTTGGTGGCACACAAGCTGAACAAAGTCCGATAGTGGGCCAGAGTCAGGATGCTGGGAGTGTAACCTCAGCTGGTTAGAGTAATGAGGGGTCTGTGCTAAGGACGGACCCGTGAAAGACGCCATCGTTCCTTGTATCTGACCTACTTGCAAGGAAGAAACAACAGAAAAGTGGCATCATTAATATCATATCTCTCTTTGGCGCTTTGGATTTTAGCATCAACACTTTTTTACAAAAACAAAAATATTATTAATTCTGATCACTGACAAGTTATTTTAAGTCGTTTTTTGGTTCATACATGAATGTAACGCCAAAATTTTACTGTAAGTAACGTAACAGCACACTAAGTATTCCTGCAGCAAACTCACAAGAGTTGAGCACGTTTCATCAACTCCTGCACATTTTGCTGTGAATACTTTGGAACATACCAGCCTGGTATGGGGAAGGATAACAATTATATTTTAAGTATTCTGGCATATATAATGTACTTGTTTTGCATGTCAATACCCTGGAATTCACATCAACAATTTTCATCTAAATGTGTGCAAAGCTGTTGCATCTTCGTATTGCAACAAGTGTATGGCCGCAACGGTGTAACAAGAATCTGCTGTAAGCCGTGCTACAACTGATAATGTAGTAACAAACGGATAACGTATCACCAACCGCTAATGTCACAAACATTGACCGATCACTAACCGATAATGTAACAAACATTGACCGATACTGTATCACTAAACGATAATGTAACAAAAAAGTGACTGATAGTGTCGTAAAATGTACTACACTATCAGTCAATTGTTGTTACATTATAGGTGTCAACTGATGATCTAACAAAAATTGACTGACAGACTCGTAATGTTACTACACTATCAGTCAATATTTTGTTACATTATCGGTTTAGTGATACAATATTGGTAAATTTTTGTGACATTATCGGTTGGTGCGTATCCATTTGTTCCTATATACGTATCCGTTTGTTCCTACATTATCAGTGGTGACACACCGCCTTTTTAAAAGCCCATTTCAGTCCAATTGAGGTCCGATGCGTACATAATCTTATTTTAAATTGTAGGCCTAACTACATGAACTACACACCTGACAAAAAATGGACTGACAACGGAAAGGCAACTTAACACTCCATTGGTCACAATACACGTGGTACTAAGGCACTGAAGCCAAAGCACCATGGAAACTAAATTGTTATCTCACCCTTATACTCGTTTGCCTGGCTAACGTGGGACAGTCCCTGATGTAGGGAGCATGAAGACATTCCTCCATCTCCTTCAATCTTTGGTTCAATTTTGAGGATTCTCCTGGTTACTGGAGAGGACTGGGTAGCAAAACTGCTGGCTGCCTCTGAGATCTTGGGTTTGTGACCAACTAGGGCTAGGCTGGACGGGACAACAGGACTTGAGCCTGTAACAATTTAAAAGGTTGGAAATACAACGTTAAAGAGTTTATCTGAGACTTTACATTTGCTTAACACACTTACAAGTTACTGAATTGAATGGAAAAATAACACCAAAAGTTTTCACATTTTACATATTCATAGCCTAATGTGCATAAACACATTAAAATTGCCACTTTATACAACTTCATTACACTTTATGCCACTTTTAATGACAAACACCTTTTGACCATAGAAAAAGAAAGCCTAATCCTCAGCATCACGATGGACGTGGATGATTGTGCACCAGTTATTGCTTACATCAGGCCAAGCTATAACCAAATCAAATTCTCTCCAAGCACATGTAATGCAATCAGGGAGCAATTTCTCTTTGCATTTGAAGGTGGTAAAAACGGGGTTGCATGGGTGTTCCTGTCATGCATGACTCCTGAGTGTAAAACCAAGGAGCCATGGGTTCAAGCCCATAAAATGTGAGCTGGTCGAGAGCCAGTCAACAGAGCCCCTCTTTTGATGTTTTTTTCAACTGAGGGGCAGGTTCATGGTTGCAGCTAGGCCAATAAATAGGCCTCAGATTGCCCATACCAACCAACTCACAGTTTGTTCATAGGTAAGTGTTTGGTCTGTCAATGCCTGTGTACAAATGTATGTGTCTTAGCTTACTGCTTACATGTAGGGGGGTCTCAAGTCAGCAGAAAATTGTGTGCTTGACACTTGTTGCCTACTCATAAACATACCAGGGTCTATGTCACTGTGCCAACTACCAGATTGGCTGCTCAGAGAGGCCGGGGACCGGCCATAGAAGTTCAGATTCTCTGTGTCTTCCCCGACACTATCCACGTCATCATCAGCTGAGGACATGGTGCTGGAGTTACGCTTGATTCGCTTGGTGATTGGATGGTTTGGTTGGATGTGGCGGCGGGTGGCAAGTGGTTGCGTGACGTCCGGGGCATACTGGAAGTATGTAGGACTCTCTAGATCACTCAGTGGTAAGGTGGTCGAGGCTCCGTCACAGATTGACCCTATATAAACCAATGACAAACAATAAGGTCTTTCTCAAAGTTAAATGAGAAGCAATTAAAAGAAGAATTAAGAATAAAGTCAATCACAGAAATGATTTGCAACCCAACAAGTGATTATTGTATTGTGACTAGACTTGTGAATGGACTCATGAATTACTTGTAACTGGACTTGTGATAGACTCGACCTACATCCCTAAATCCAACCAAATTCTTAAATCAGCAACAAAAAATTAACTGTTTAATGTCAAAACGAATCGGGTAAACAAATAAAAGGCCGCAGTACAGGGAAGTGAACGCGTGATCTCAATACTGCTACAATAATCATCTGTAATTGTTCTTTGCCAAAATTACAAGGTCAAGTTCAAAAAGTGTTCCCCTGAATTATATATTTTTTTGGTTTTCAGTTATAATGAAAATATCACTTTTCCCAATAAAATTTGTCCTATAAGGTTTCCCTCCGACTTGTCCAACCCAGAATTCTTCCTTGTGTATATTTAGGATGTCAGGGAGTTGCCAAACACACCAATCACTCAAACTCACACAGTGCACTGTACAATGAGGTAAAGCATTTTATGAAACATACCTTGCGTAAGTCTTCTCAATTCATTGGAAGAGAAAACTCCGCTGGTGGCAAAACTATTCGGCTCTTCTTGGGCAGTTACAATTGTTACTAACAAAAACCAAAATCAGAAAAAAAAATAACTAAATAAATATATACTCTTTTTTTTTTTAATGATCTAAATGTTCCAATTTTGTTTTATTATAAACCCAAATTTTCTGAGCTGCAGAAGTGATCAATATTTTCAAAAAGAGTACACCGTGACCATCCCTAAATATCCGGGTTAATTCTGAGTAAGAAATCTTTTTGACATTTTAACATGCATTATAATAATCCTCCTGCATTATGTTATTGACTGGAAAAACAAACAAAGAAACAAACACAATAATAACTAGAAGGCAAATATATCACAGGTTTCCATTACCTTTTGTGTAACAAATGTTCACTTCAGAGTATTATGCGCCTATCAAATATTATTATTCAAAATGACTACAATGCGTGCTCAATGATGATATTTAGATTTGAATTGTATGGTCAAGAAGAGAGAGAGACAGAAAAGTGCAGGTGGCTTCAAAATCAGGGTAGCAGCTTAGCCAATAAAAAAACCAACAAAAAAACGACAAAACTTTCTGTTAAACTAAATGCTCTGCCCATGCTCTACCATACAATTCTCCATTTGATACTCGCAGGATCAAGGCATTTCTCTCAGTGTTACATCCTGACTGTGGGTCCAGGGAAGGATAAATCCCTGCAATTTCAATACTGAGAGCACCACCCCCTCCATTGAGTGTGTATATAAGTAAGCCATACACCATTTGTCCTTGCCCTTGGCATTTTCAGCATCATATCCCATCAGCTTTATTTGCCATTTCCCTCACCTCACACACAGGCCATTGACCCCATAACTGGTGTGATCCAATGGGGGTCCAGGTTCTCAAATCCCCATGCGTCATTTTCCAGTAACCCAAGCTACGTACACAATATCATACTCATGTAAGTATGAACATGAACATGTACGCATACAGTTTATACCCTACATGTTTGAACGTACTGCATCCACATACATACCCTAGGGGCCAAGAGGTTTATTGACCATCAATGCTGTACCAGGATGTGGGGGCAAACTTTCATAAACAACCAGTTCTCAGAACTTTCACTTTCACTTCCTATATCCAGTCTGTACATCTACTGGCCTATACTCAGCAAACAGCAGTCAAGCTCAACAATAGGCAACGCAACCCATTGTTCATCAACCAAATTGACCTCCCAGGGCCGATTGCCATGGCAACATGAACAAGAATCAGGGGATTTGCAAATCCACCCGTGCATTGTGCTCTTCATGCTGTACATTTTAATTGCCTTATTAACAAAGCATTCATGAACACATACATTTGTACACATACAGGTACGTATACATGTAAACATAATTATGAGTATGTTCCCCTACAACAATAAAACATCTGCAAAATGTATCAAAATATCAGCGCCCCCCCCCTAAATCCTCCCCACCAAAAAAGAAGTGACTGAAAATGTTTAGAAAATGAAATAAAATAGCGTGTAATTACTACAGAACCCTGGCTTCTGCAATTTTTCTGTGATAAATTACCCCCCCCCCAAAAAAAAAAATGTGTATCAAATGAGTTTGGAACACCATCCAATCTCCTAACCTCTAGAGAAAGAAAACACAAACAGCCAACTGAATAACAACAACTGTGTAGGCCCTAAATGTATCATCCTATATATGTACACGTACATGTATATTAAAATACATCCCTCAACCAAATTTATGATGAACATGATGAAGCCTGGCAGAAATCTATAAAACAACAGCCAGAGAGTAACTACCAGAGAGAATAATTCAAATCCCTCCTGATGGCCTCAACTTAGGTTGTTTACCGATGCCTGAGTTACAAGCCTCGTGACTCATGGACCAGGAAGCCACTGAAGTCAACACTCACCACAGAAAAATTATACAACAAACTTCTCCTGGAAAAAAAACTGACAGCGAATTTCCACTGTGAATTTGCTCCCTGGAGGCAGGTAGGAGGGCATTGATCTCAATTGTTTGTGAGAAATACTCCCAGAGGGCCCTGTGGTGTTCAAGGTTATAGTTTATTAGGGCAATTGTCCATCAATTTTCTTTTTCTCTGAAAACAGTGGTAGTAAGCAGGCCACAGAGCGGTGCACCCAGGTACACAGTGGTACATGGAGTGGTACTGTGTATTTTTGTTTTAATTACTAATTACAATTCCAGTTACCAACACTTTCTGTTGAAAGCTTTTATTGTTGAACACAAATTGAGTTTGTGTAATAAGGCCAAGTAAAAAAAAACCAACACAGTTGGTCGCCCCCGCCCGCATCCTTTTTTTGAAGCCGAAATCCTTTTTTTTTTTTTATTTTTTAATTGTTTTTCTATTTTTTTACATGCATAAAACATGCATAAATTGGGTAAAATATGGTACATAGTCATAGAACATTGTTTAACACAAACATTTTGACTAATTATACTAGTAGAATAGCTAATAAAAAGCTGGAGGTCATTTTGAACTGAAAAGTTGGCGGCCATTTTGAATTTAAATACATGGCGGCCATCTTCGACAAAAATAACAAATAAAAAAATAAAAAAATTAAATGCCCCTCATCCTCCTCAGTCTTTTTGAAAAAAAAAAACCCGACCAACAATTGGTATTTTTTTTTAACTTGGCCTAACCTAGTTACACTGAAAAAAATGTGGTATTTAACTAATTAAGTTTATAATTTATCAAATTAAAGGAAACTAGAATTAACCAATGTGCATTAAACACCTAATCTATTCGCTGACAACTTCAGGGGACCATAACAACATATGAGCTCTGAAAAAATGAAGAAGAAATTTTAAACATCACTGTGCGACACTTTCAGAGGGCCTTTCCGACTCATACGAGCCAAATTATACTTGATTGCATCAGAGAAACACTGTAATTATTTTCACAATAAACAAGTCACATCACACTCACTGGACATAAAAAGACCATAAAAATCTTTGTACAGCTACATGTATTGTTGTCAAGATTGGTCTATGTATAAGTATGTACCCTTCCTTAATTTGTGGAAAAAATCAACCACTAGAGGGCGATATACACAGAGCCGATAGGCTTAAAATGTCACTTCATAATCTTGTACAAGGACTGCACAAGATGTGAATGACACATGGAGGTCAGGCACATGCCTCTAGAGAATCCAAGAGGAAATCTCCACTTTCCCACTTCTGGGAAACAGAAATGTGGTTTAGAAATTTGGGATTGTTTTATGTGGAGTCATGCAACTAGCAGGGGACCAAAGTTGGCATTGAACTGTCAAGACCTCCATGTACATGAACAAGTGGGGACATAGACTTGAGGACAAGTCACTAGACAGTCGTGTAATTGTCTTGTGGCACTTGAATATATGGCCCTGCTTGTACATGTGTATGTGTTTCCGGGCTGCCAACTTTGAGCAAGAACTGATTTGAGCAAGAACTAATGGGAGCGTGAATTAAGCGCAAGCATGAAGCCCTAGCTAACAGCATGGGGGCCCCAGAAAGTTTTGGATTCTGACCACTTTAACCAATTTTTTTGTTAGCAAAAGATCATCATTTAAATATCATGTTCGAGTTTGGAGCCAATCTCTTGATTAGTTGTTTTAATTTTCATTTTTGTAAAATAATCAATTTTTTTTTCTCAATGAGTCTCAATGCGTGAGGGTTGGCAGCCCCGGTGTTTATTATCACTTTCTGTTTCTGGCCAATGATAGCTCACCTCCACTGAGGAAGCATCCACTGTTAGAGTACATTTATCTTTTTCTTTTCAAAAGATTCTCATTAGAAATTTAAATTAATAAAATTAGATAATATTATTTGCCAAGTACTTGTTCTCCGAATAATAGAAATAAATATGATTGAATACCAAACGGCTCAGGAATTAGCAAACTGAGCTACAATTTGGTAGTTTTGCTATACGCCTTGGTCTGTAGGACTCAATGTATTTTATGTCTATTTCAAAAGTTTTGTTGTAAATTCATTCCTCAGAAATTATTTTGTTCAAACCTTTTTTCCCCCTTCAGCTGCAAGGATGAATCCCAAGGCGGTGGGTAGGGGGAGGAGAGGGGATCAGGGAATTAATTAAAGAGCCCCTCATTCCTGTTTAACCACCCCCCCCCCCATTCCCTCCTTCGGCCCTTTCAGCTATCTCTTGTTTTTTTTAAATATGTTACAACTTTTCCTGAAGTTAGTTTGTGTCTGGCTATATATCTATGTAAATGCTTACATGGATTCTGCCAATCTGGTTCACTGCCACTTTTGACTGACATGCTGTCCCCAGAATCACTCAGTGCCCGCTCTGCAGGAAAGAAAAGAAAGAGATCAAGGTGTAAAGAAAGAGATCAAGGTGTAAAGAAAGAGATCAAGGGATGGATTAACACTACATTTATGCTCAAATTATCAAGAGTCTGTATGATTCCAATAAACCATTGAAGCTTCGGGTTAAGTTAAATGCAGGATACTCTAACAAGTGCGGGTGCTCAATAAGCTCTGGCCTGGTTCCAGAACATCAGTATGCAAAATAGATGCGCATGCGCATCGATCAAGACAAAGAGGCTTGTTCCGAAATCTTTTGTCAAGAGTGCATTTACAGACGACAGCATTGCATTTGGTCGATTTCTTGATCAATTGGGGGCCCGTTTTCCAGGGACAGACCGACCAACCAAGAACAAAGTGACATATGTAAAAGCACTGCCAGAGCTCAAAAACAAACTCAAACATTTGAATTATAAACTACTACCTACAGGTTACGAGAAAAAGGCTCAGCAGGTCTTTCCCTCTTCCCCCAACTCCCAAAAACAAACAAACCCTGAACATCCCCCAAAAATAAAATGGAGAAAAAATATTCTCCAAACACCCCTACTCCCCCCCCCCCCCAAAAAAGAAAAAAATTTCAGAGAGCAACAGTTTTCAAAGAAATGTAGCAATTAATGCTTCAAATTAATATTCTGAAAATGCATCAGCTGGTTATGAAAATATCTCAAAATCACAGACTCAACGAATGACATGGGATTTCTGAAATCAATCAGTATGCAAAATATCATTCAAAGTAGGGCTGTGCCTGCCAGGGAAAATTTGTGTTGGTTGCATTCAGATCAACCTGTTTAACCATGCAAGTCCAAACACAAACTTGGCTGCCAAGTTCTAAGATGGCAACCCCCGGATGCGAACCTTTTAGATACCCGGATAAGATGCGGTCACTGTGGTAAGTTAATGGTCGAAGGGAAAAATGAAGTCAGTTCCCGGGCACTTAGGGATAGATCAGGGGAAAAGAAGGGGACAGCCCCTTACTAAGACGAGCAGAGCGCCAGGGTCCTGACATTTCCTGTTCAGATTTACTTCCTCAATACCATGGATTTGTACACATCATTTTCATCTCACACAAAATGCCCATATAAAGAGATGGGGCAAGCTCCTTAAATATGGAGGCTATAGACTATATAGGCCAATGTATGCAAATTGCAGATGATGATGACATTTATCACCCCCCCCCCCCCCCCCATTGCTACTCCAAAACCAAACCAATGCAAATCCCAAACTCCGAAGTTCAGAAATAAATGTCATACTGACCAAGGTATGATCTGAAGAAGAGAGAATTGCTTATTTTATGTCATTATTTACTGTGAATACTTGAGCTGAGTGACGAATCAGTTAAAAGAGGTGCATACAAAAACTTCAGACTTATCTCTTTTCTCAATATATTGAACACTTTAAGTTACTTAAATGGTCCATTTCACACAAAAATTGAGTATCCCTCACGACAAAAGTTGTGTTTTGTACATTTATAAGCATACTACATGTATAGTGTTTAGGTTTAAAAGTAGCGTCCATTGTAATTTGTGCATTATGTTCGTTTGAAGCAACAAAAGTGCTCAAAACCTAAAGAAGGGTGCTAAACAACTAACCTGATAAACTTTCAGCTCAGCGAAGGCTGTATATTCCGAGAAAACACTATTCTAGGATCTCGTTTTCAAATCAATTTGCTGATTCATGTTTTGAATTGGGCCTGACTTCAGCGTCCGGGACACATTCTCACTGAGCCGATTGAAGCTATGCAATGTCGCGCACTGAACCGACGAATTATAGCAACCCCGCGCACGTGTGCGTTGTGTCAACGCTTCGCGCACTTACAGAAATTTCCAACAATGCGTCTTTCTTTCATTGATTTCTTCAAATTGACAGCTTGCCAGAAAAAATAATTTTATAGGGAGTTTAGTTCCATTACTATCTTTAAACCAAGTAAGCTTTTTAACAATAATGATGTCAGTTACTTTTTGGATAGAGGCAAATGATGGACTGTACCTTTAACTTGTGTGAACATATTGTACTGGTTTGACTGTTCATGTGGCTGCACAGCTGTCATATTACAATACATACTGTAGTCCCCAGTGCTGATACAACCATTTTGCACACATGAGCACTCAAGTGTACAAACCTATTACATGTATGTAAATCACCAACCCTTGTAACATACTACACGTATATCATATTAATATAAATTTGATACTTGTGAAATTATCAATGCCTGTCACAGTTTGCACCAGTGGGAATTTTGTTAAGTGTGAATGAAGTGGCTACATTCATATGCCTTATGTAGTATTATGACACACAAGCCTTTATACATGGGTAAGGTCAAAGATCCTAACCTGTTTACAAAAATCGGAAGTGTAGATAGCAACCATGGTTGCAACACAGAATCAATATTATTGGCCCCAAAGTTTCACCGCAAGTATGTAAACAATAAGCAACCTTGACTGTAAAAGTTTAAGTTTCACTGTCTTCTTGATAAAAGGCCTATATTGTACTTGATACGGCTACGCTTTTCACATTTGTGTACCCATTGGCAATTCATGTGCATGAGTCTCACCGCAAATTAAATATGATTGAACAACCAAATGTCAAAGTCTCTTAATCAATTCAATACTTTGAAGTAGTGGCACTGTATTATAAACTAGATTTTTTATCTGATCTCCCTTTTTTCAGCATAAGGTGCAGTCGGTTGGCACAGTTGTTCTTTCCTAGCTTTTAAAATTTTTTTTTTTTTTACATACATACACTGATACACACTCCCCGCTCCTAGCAGTTCTAGTTTTATTCCTTAATTCTAGTCTACTAGTGCTCTACATCTATGTGGATTTCAGTCCGCTAAGTGAGTTTTTAAACCAGGCTCAATGTTCTCTCAAAACATTGCTCAGGCAACTCATGAGTGTTGAAAATGTATAAGAAATTGAATTAGTAAAAGTAACTACCAGGCGCACCCGTGCCTGTGTGATTTATACTACTATCGCCAAACTGGTCGGTAGTAGCAGTTCTATAGATTGCAATGTAGCTCCTACACTACCGTGTAATAGTTGCGATCGCAAGTGAAGTTGCCGGTGGAACATACTAAAACCTTCCTGATAGACAAGTGAGGTTGCTGGTGGAACATACTAAAACCTTCATGATAGACAAGTGAGGTTGCTTGTGGAACATACTAAAACCTTCATGATAGACAAGTGAAGTTGCCGGTGGAACATACTAAAACCTTCCTGATAGACAAGTGAGGTTGCTGGTGGAACATACTAAAACCTTCATGATAGACAAGTGAGGTTGCTGGTGGAACATACTAAAACCTTCATGATAGACAAGTGAGGTTGCTGGTGGAACATACTAAAACCTTCATGATAGACAAGTGAGGTTGCCGTTGGAACATACTTAAACCTTCGTGATAGACAAGTGATGTTGCTGGTGGAACATACTAAAACCTTCCTGATAGACAAGTGAGGTTGCTGGTGGAACATACTAAAACCTTCATGATAGACAAGTGAGGTTGCTTGTGGAACATACTAAAACCTTCATGATAGACAAGTGAAGTTGCCGGTGGAACATACTAAAACCTTCAAGAAAGTGAAGTTGCCGGTGGAACCATACTAAAACCTTCATGATAGACAAGTGAGGTTGCTGGTGGAACATACTAAAACCTTCATGATAGACAAGTGAGGTTGCTGGTGGAACATACTAAAACCTTCATGATAGACAAGTAAGGTTGCCGTTGGAACATACTTAAACCTTCGTGATAGACAAGTGATGTTGCTGGTGGAACATACTAAAACCTTCATGATAGACAAGTGAGGTTGCCAGTGGAACCATACTAAAACCCTTCACGAAAGACAAGTGAGGTTGCTGTGGAACCTTACTAAAACCTTCAAGAAAGTGAAGTTGCCAGTGGAACCATACTAAAACCCATGATAGACAAGTGAGGTTGCCGGAGGAACCATACTAAAACCTTCAAGATAGTGAGGTCGCTGGTGGAACATACATAAATGTACTAAAACCTTTATGAGAGACAAGTGAGGTTGCCGGTGGAACATACTAAAACCTTATTAAACAATAGACAAGTTAGGTTGCTGGTGGAACCATACTAAAACCTTCATGATAGACAAGTGATGTTGCTGGTCATTGCTGGTGGAACTATACTAAAACCTTCATGATAGACAAGTGAGATTGCCGGTGGAACATATATAAAACCTTCATTGATAGACACGTAAGGTTTCTGGTGGAACCATACTAAAACCTTCAGATAGACAAATGAAGTTCTGTGCGAGGGATTTCCCATAAACTTTTCAACAAAGTTTGATAATGAAACAAATTTAAAAACAAAAACAACATAGTTTTAGTGTCTGACCTCCCTCTACTTCGTGTCCGGAGGAAGTCAAATCAACCAACACCTGAGAACCAATAGTTTCCTACTACTTCCTCTCAAACCTTACATAATTGTATATTTTGGATTATTATCCCTGATGGCAGAATTGTTTTACTACGCGTAAATTCTATTCACAAAACTATGCTATTGTTACATACATGTACTCACAAGTGCTACTAGGTATAAATCAATGAACATCACATGTCTGAAGCCTCAAGATCTTGCTGCAATTCTCTTTAAGACAATGAGGTCACTGACCTCATGACCTTGACTACAAGGCCTGGCTCTTGCAGCTCAGCTTTAAGACATTGCACAATTTGTCAGGACTAATTCAACCCAACCTCTGATGACAGACGAGAAACTTGGCCTCTACCCAGATTCCTCTGAAACAGGAAGTGGCCATTTGGGGCCTAATCTAATATACCCGCTCCCAAGCAGCCAGATGTACATGTGCGTGTACTTGACACTTACACTCAGAAGCAGAGTACACGTTTACATAACCTACAGCACTGCACAAGTGCACACACACAAATTTCCCAGAAAGAAAAGCCTGTAAAGTATAATTCAACTTACATACATGTAATGTACAGGTACATGTACCACTGACATACCGTATAGTATACAAAGTTGTAATTTATACATTTGGTGATGATCTCTGGCATTCCTGCATGAACCAGAATGTGCAGGTGATGGTTAGCAAGTCTAACATCATTTGCATTTAAATGAATCTGAGCACGTGTTCACTGTACACTCACTAAGGCCCCCTTCAATGGAGAAACCACTGTGCATGCTATTGTACAAAGCAACCATCCTGTGACGGATTATCAGAGCAGAAGCGAGCACAATGCTTTCGCCATTAGGGGAGCCTCCATGACAGAGGTGATAGCTTGCCCGGATTGGCCTGTAACCAGGATCAGATGGAGTATTCTGCTGAAAAAATAGCCATGAAATGGCTACTGCCATTGAAAAAAGAAATGTGTTACTTTGATCAATGAAGTACTTGTCACACACTGTACTGTACTCTTTTAAATGTAACCATAGTTAGGGTGATGTAAAGGATGGGAAGGGGAGGAATAAAAGCCTTTGGCTGCTCCATCAGTCCCCTATGCTGACATTTAGTTTTCATCTTTAAGTGACGTAACAATATTTATGAAACTGTTTCCTTCTTGATTACATAACACGGTCTATATTACCAGCACGAAGAGTAAATCTTTCCAAAACTTATTAAATGTATGTACTTTGCATGAAGACTGATACAGAATACTTTTGGAATTGGAAGAAACTCCAATTTGAACCTAGTATGTTACTTGTCATTGAAATATATCTTCACTTCAAATGTTAGCAAACTACGTAAGCATATGACCATTCAAGTAAGTTACCACGTTACTGAGATAACTTATTGTGGAAACACTGCAACTCCTACGCGATAACACAGATTTCAATGATAATGTTTTTTAAAATCTATAAGAGCAAGTTTTACTCGGCCTCCGAGAAATGTTTGCTCCTGAAAGGATCCGAGACCGCGGTCTCCCACGACGCCAAAATCGCTCCACATCCGTGGAAAAATGTGGAGGGTGACTTCCGCCGGGTCGGACACTTCGGGTCGTCCTAATTTTCCCGTACGGACCGGTGACCCGTTTCGTCGATTTTTCATGACTGCGTTTTTGTACAGGAATTGCCGTCGTGTGCGCTTTCACGTTGACTGCCTGGCCGCCCTCTGTGTTGGCTTTATTACGAGTCAAGACTGTGCGTGGTCAGCGGCTTCAACGTAGGGGCTCCGTTTACGTGTTCTACTTGCCCGTTCTACAACAGTGTTCACCAAACAGTAGTCTGGGGTGACCTTGGCAAAATATTTTTTCTCCATGGTGCGTGGCCACCAAGTTTCCCTATTGTTTCCTATGCTTTGCTTGCCGCCCCCGCGCCGAGTGCCATGAATACTTAGAAGGACCACACATTAGTATACCTTGTGCGGTCAGCATCGGACCAGTCTAAAGCCTGCACTGCGTACTTCCGGGCTATGCGTAAAACTGTCGATGTCAACGCGAACTGCAGCCTGCTCGACACACTGGAAACGAGGTTGGGTCTTCGGTGGAGGCTCGAAGGCTATGTTAAGTGCAAGCGTGTGACGTGATGGAGTGATGTTGCTTCCACTGGTCCCATGCAAGGCTGAGTGTTATGAGTTTGCTGCCCACCACGCATAATTCAGTGTCGCGTTATAATTTCGGGGGCATGTTTTGGGATCAACGAAGGATCAATTGCTTCAAATATCGCAATCTTAAGTTGAACTACGTTAGGTTGGAATAACGAATTCCATTGGCGGTTGTTGGCTGTTTGGCCTTGCTTTATTAATTACAAGCTGGTTTACCCGATCATAGATCGGGTAGGGCGTTGTGTTGGGGATGAAAATGTGGGGAGTTAAATGTAAATGGGGGATATAGTTGGTGAGACATGCAGTTAAAGAATATCAATTTCTGTGGTGTGATCTGAGGCAATTTCTGATCACTAAAACCAATTTGAGCAAAAGATCATCTGTGAAAGTTTTGAGTTTTAAGTAATTGAATCAGCTACATGTATTCTGAGCAATAGAATCATTATTGTAGGCTACAATATTTTTATTCGGGGAAGAAAAAGTGTGTGTGGGGGGGGGAGAGACCAAACAATGTCCCCCCTCAAAATGTGGGTGTGTGTGTGTGTGGGGGGTCCCCTGTCCCCCGTCGATTTACGCACATGATAATTATGTACCATGGCAACTGTCTGTAAATGTTGCCGTTGGTCTGTTAAATTGGCTTTTTGTGAGGCAGTCGCATTTGGAAAACGAAGATCATCTTTTAAACATCATTTTCGAGTTTGGTGACATTGAATCAGCTATTCTGAGTAATGGAATCATTATACATGTAGTAGCTACAATTTTTATTCGGGGAAGAAAAGTGGGGGGGGGGGGGACCCAAAAAGTCTCCACCGCTTTAAAATGGGGGGGGGGGGGGGGGGTGGAGGGGTTCCCCGTCCCCCACCGATTGACGCCCATGATAATTATGTACCATGACAACAGTCTGTAAATGTTCCCTTTGGTCTGTTAAATTGGCATTTTTTGAGGCAGTGGCATTTGTGAGAAAACGTACTTGAAAGGCTTGCCGTAGTACACAGGCGAAGGCTGATTAAGAAGGTCATAATTAAGTTTCAGTATATTGGACTCTTCAACAAACGTAAACTTGAACGTCTTACAATTTGCGAGACTGTCTGCGAGGAACTTGTCGAGTCAACTGTTATTCAACTTGGGTCAACCATCTATATAAGAGCAAATTTTACTCGGCCTCCGAGAAATGTTTGCTCCTGAAACGATCTGAGACCGCGGTCTTTCGCGACGCCAAAATCGCTCCACGTCCGTGGAAAAATGTGGAGGGTGTCTTCCGCCGGATCGGACACATTTTCGTTGATTTTTTGTGTGACTGCGTTTAAGATCGCGATGTTTGAAGCAATGCATCGATCCTTCGTTGATCCCAGACAGGCCCCCGAAATTATAACGCAACACTGTGGCGGGCAGCGAACTCACAACGCTCAGCCTTGGTGGAAGCATGGAGCTGTATTAACACACGATGGAAGCAACAGAGCACTATACACGTCACTCACATGCTTGTGCTTCAAATCATGCAAATAGCGAGCACCGTAGACCCAACCTCGTTTCCAGGGTGTGGAGCAGGCTGCAGTACGCGTTGCCATCGACAGTTTTGCATAGCCCGGATATACTACGCAGTGTAGACTTTCGATTGGTCAGACCGCGCAAGGCATACTTAATGTGTCTTAATGTGTAGTCCTTCTGAGTATTCGTTGCACTTGGCGCAGGGGCGGCAAGCGAAGCATATGAAAGAATAGGGGCACTCGGTGGCCACGCACCATGGAGAAAAAATATTTTACCAAGGTCACCCCATATCACAATTTGGTGAACGCTTTGGCAGTACGGCTGAGAAGAACACGTAAACGAAACCCCTACGTTGACCTCGCTGACCTCGCACAGTCTAGACTCGCAGAAAAGCCAGCACAGGGGGCGGCCAGGCAGTCAACGTGAAAGCGCACACGACGGAAAATTCCTGTGCAAAATGTTGTCACGAAAAATAGACGAAAAGGATCGCCGGTCCGTACGGGAAAATCAGGACGACCCGAAGTATCCGACCCGGCGGAAGACACCCTCCGTATTTTTCCACGGACGTGGAGCGATTTTGGCGCCGCGGGAGCCCGCGGTCTCGGATCCTTTCATGAGCAAACATCGTCTCGGAGGCCGAGTTAAACTCTCTCTTATATATATAGATGGTTGAACCAACTTGAATAAAGTTGAATCGACTTTTTCCTCGCAAGTCTCGCAAAAATTGCAAGATGTTCAAGTTTACGTTTGTTTTCCAATTCTGTAACTTAATTATCATGGGCGTCAATCGGTAGGGGACGGGGGGACCCCCCCCCCCCCCCACACACACACACGCACACATTTTGAACCGGGGGACATTGTTTGGTCCCCCCCCCCACTTTTTCTTCACCGAATAAAAATTGTAGCCTACTATGATGATGCTATTACTCAGAATAGCTGATTCAATGACTCCAAACTTGAAAATGATGTTTAAAAATTGATCTTTTGCTAAAAAAAAAAATTGGTTTTAGTGGTCAGAAACTCGGAAATCTGCAATTCAACGATCTAGTATCTCAGAAACATGGAATTCATCTTCGAAAGCGCACAAAATCAGTGATAGCGTGTGGTTTGAAGGTTCTGCAACCTTATCGTCTGATCCGTTCATTCAGCTCAGTCATGGGTACATAAGTTATCATTACATTTTAAGAGAAAATCATTGAATTCCGTACATTTCAGAGATTCGTTATCATTGAATTGGTTCCCAGATATAAATAAGGGTCAGTATAAGACTTTACACTTTGCATTAGGATTGTACATCATTAGTGTCTGTCATTATCAATATTTTCACAAGTTAGTCCAAAATTTCAAGATACATGTAGTTGCTGAAAATATGTGTGCATTATACAGTTGAATGAAACTTAAGAATGGACAAAAATTGAATTAATAAAACCTTATTAAGCCCGGTTCATACTTCACGCGAAAGCGAAGCGAAGTTCGTGACGTCAACAATACGCACGAAGCGCGTCCGCCATCGACGACAACATGAATTTTGCTTCGCACTTGCTTTCGTTTGAAGTATGAACCGGCCCAAGGCCTTTAGTTTGCAAAATGTCAGCGTACACAGACAATCACAATACCTACCTGGAGATTGCACAATGAAGGTTGCAAGGAACAGATCCAACTCTCGGATGCTGACACTGATGTGGTGTGGCTGGACACACAGTACAGGATTGGAACAGTTCATAGACTTGACCAACCTCTCACCATCGGTGCTCTCCAAAGGTATAGCCTTGAAGAGCACCACCATCACCAGATCTAAGCGCCAGACCTTGTCAGCCTGACGCAGGCAGTCAATGCGTCGAATTTTACCCTTTTGGTCCGGGTTACTCAGTATGCACATGGGGGTCTTCTTGCCTGTAACAGTGAGAACAAAGTCCTCCCGACACTCGGGCCTGATGTCTTTGCGCAGTTTTGCCAGCAGACGAGACGCCCACTTTTGCTTGACCTCGGGCTTGTCATTGGCAAGCTCTTCTTTGACCTGCCTCTCTTCTAGTGCGGACATGCGTTTCTCATGCTTCTTCAGGTACTTGCGCTTCCGCGCTTGCAGGTTGAACCATATGTAGGAGAACGATTTGACATAAGGCAGCACAGCCTCAATGAAGGGGTGAAACTCATCCTGTATAAAGAGACCAAACATTAATCAATTTAGTGTCATGTCGGTGGCCTCAGATGCAGATAGCCAGTATACAATAGGATATTTATTAAAGCACACAATCAACAAAATGATAAAGTGAAATAAAACCTGCATAAAAATGATAAAAAACAACAACAAAGAATACTGCTAATGTTCTGTTATTATTTTAAGTTATTCCTACTCAAAGATTAATGGAAATTTAGCACTTACTTCTGCATTTATTGATTTAAATCTTTCGAGTGAACTGAAATGTTTCCATAACCCCTGGAAAAGAAATCTACTTGTTTTTAACATACTCATCTAGTATAAAACCTCATGTCAGTATAGGTTTCCCAGTTTTGTTTGGACAGTCTTTTATCTGAACGTATAATATGAAAAAAAATGGTGTTTTATCTACATGTATGTAGGCAGTATACCTAAAAATATTAACAGCACTATTTTATATACATGTATTAAACACTGACATTAGTATAATAATTAGTATTCAAATAGGTAATACATTTCACTAATCCAGCTGAATCATGTTTTGCACTTCACTATAAAATTAGTCCAGCAACAGCAAGTACAAGTACATTGTGTACGAATGTCAGACAAGTCGACCGTTGAGACAACTCGACTCGGGACAAGTCGACCGTTGAGACAACTCGACCGTTGAGACAAGTCGACCGTTGAGACAAGTCGACCGTTGAGACAACTCGACTCGGGACAACTCGACCGTTGAGACAGCTCGACTTAATGGAAATGTATACACGTGGAGCGGAAAAAGTTGCAAAAATCTGTGGCAGGACTGGTCCCGGGCGCGGCGCAGGCATGATACTTGATGCACAGAGGGCGCTCCGATCCGGTGGCCGTCGCGTTGGGCCGGCGCGCCCCCCGCCCCGACCGCGAGGACCGGGCCCGGCCCGCGGGCACGTTGACCGGCGCGGTAAGTGGGCGCACAGGCCCGGCACAAAAGATACCACCGTGCACGGTACGGACAAGTTGACTGGGGATGCGCGCACAGGCCCGGAAAAAACGAACGATGTGCACGGACAATCACGCTGCGCTATATCGGCTCTGTTATATATGCAACAAAAAAACTCATGTGTCATCACTTCCAAATGGCGATCAGCCGCCGTCAAAAATCCCCGGTACTATCCCCCAAAACTAGGCCCAAAAACATGCGAGGCGACTTGTCTCACTGAACGGTCGACTTGTCTTTCCATTTATCGCGCATACGGTCGAGTTGTCTCAACGGTCGAGTTGTCTCAACGGTCGACTCGTCCCGAGTCGAGTTGTCTCAACGGTCGACTTGTCTGACCCCCTTGTGTACAGTCATTCTATTCCATACACTATGCCTATAATTTATCATAAGATTCATATGGCACCATTTGTTTACCGTTTTATGCACAACTGCAATTTTATACACACAAGCATGAATGAAGAAAATATGTTGTCAAAGTAAGCAAGACATCACAGATTGGATATCGAGCCGCAGGAACTAATTCCTTGGAACTTTTAGAGCTATGATCCAACATGGTTCGAGTCACATGGCAATATTTTGGCGGCATGAAAGGAGCCATGCACGCCGTGTGTGTGGTTGATGAATGTTTACATCCATGGCTGAACTTACCACCGACATATCGGAGCGTAATCGCCAAGCACTCATGGCATGCACCAAGAGTACACCCCAGAAAAACAGAAGCCAGCAAAGATTTCTGGCACGGTTGATGTTTCTTGATCGCTTCGGTAGAACGAACTAATCATCTAAGTTGAGAGCCATGAACGCGTTTAGTTGGCTATGATCCATGCGACAGTGCTTTGAGTTCTGTGTTTACACTCGTTTTCTAGTGTGAAATACACGCATGGATCTTACTACGTGTATGTCACGCTATGCGTCACCGTACAACGTACGTACCCAAGCTAGCTTTGTATGTAAACATTACCAGCTATGGCGTAGTAGAAATTCTGTTGAGTGTTTCGCAATGGCTTTGTTTAGGTCTTTCATGGTGCATTATTATGTTAATTGTAACGAGAAAAATCGCGTAACCTCTGTGGGCGTTCTTAAAAACAGTGATTTGATTGGCTTTCGTGCCATAAATATATTAAATATTTATATTTGGAAGTAGAAGCTGACCAATACCAATGCATGGAGGCGTATCTTACCTAATTGATTGACAACATCGAGTCGGCAATCGGTTGGTAAGGAGAATTTTGATATTGATCATTTTGTTTACATTCCATTTATATAAGTTATTGAGATAATTTTGAATAATTTCGCCAATGTTTAGATAGAAAATGTATTTAAAGGTAATTAGAAGCGAAAAAATACCCCTAGATGGATTACAGTTTCATAAAGATATAAAAAATAATAACCACGTGCGTTAACTTCTTTCTAATCTTTACAAAGGTGCGTTGAACCCGGCACGAGCGTGGGTAGTTACGGTGGTGGCGCGTTTTCTAACCAGATGCCTGAATGATCAGCGTTGGGGGCCAATTTGAATATAATTGCTTTGAATTATTGCATCAGAAAAAAAAATCGAACGATTTTGTCAATATTATAATTTTAGAATAAAATAGATGAAGTTAAAATAACCGATTTACAATGACATTCATGAATAGTATAGAAACATCAGAATTGTTTTTATTACAAGCCGGTGTTTCACTTTCAATATATAATTTGCAATATCGAGATTTTGTAGAAAAATATATATATATATTTTTAAATTTTTGAAAGGTTTTGAGGGAAACCAGTTGATCATATGTAATTTAGTAATCACGTTTAATAACAGAAGCGAAGTGAGAGGGTTTTTTTTTTTGGGGGGGGCAGAATAAAACAAATCTTTTGAGTTTGTGATAGGTTATGACAAGAACCAGTTGGTATGCAGTTTTGCATTTAGGGCCGCCCTATAAAATAAAATAGTAAGCCCTTTTTATAGGTTTTTTTTTGGGGGGGGGGGGGATGGAGATGGGGGAGGGAGAAAAAATCCTGAATATTCCGACCCGTAAACGGGGTTCAAACCCGAACTCCCTTTGGAATATAATAGTACCACCCGATATGAGGGTGCACCGTCTTTACGATTTATATACAATGCGTACCAAAAAAAAAATTCAAACAAAATAAAACGGAATGCTAGACGTACGAATGTGCAACTAACATAGATAATAAAGGTATGGTTTGAAAGATACGCCTTTCCGCTTTAAAATGAGACACCAAACGTCCAAATCCGATAATTTTTGACAGAGTTATGAGTAATTTTCCAAGAGATCAAATAGACCATGGGACCACTAAGTTTTCAATTTTAGGCATCGGGACTGTGCGGATATTTGCCTGGCCTACAAAAATGTGTTCAGCGAGTAAACACAATTCTAAACACTTTCTTGCTATCACCTCAAGCTAAAAAATGTTAAGCATTATAAATATGTTTACAAACTGTTACACATTCTACATTCTGATCCACCTTATAATAAGGCCATCAGCCTGGGGGTTTCAAATCAGGGCATAAATGATTATAGTGAGCATGCGCAAGGAATACCGCCCCTAGAGTGGTAACAAGCATTTTGATGGACATTTTGAAAAAAAGGGTGATAACACCCAAAAAGCTGCCACCGGTGCAATGCTATCACATATTTTCCAACTCCGGAGGTGTATACCTTGCCAAAAATCGCTATGACGATTATTCCCCTCATTTGATACCGGTGGCCAAAATTTTGGACCGAGGCTGATGGCTTATAACGGTTAGCGTTCCCACTACACACAATTATTGCCGGATCTGATCCCCCAATTGGGGGATCTGATCCGGCAATTGGGGGATCTGATCCGGCAATTTGGCAAAAGGTGGATCAGATCCCCCAATTGGTGGATCAAGTGGGAACGGGGTCGTATACGTCTGGCATTCCGTTATATTTTGTTTGCATTTTTTAATACACACTGAAGAGGAAACCCAAAGCACTATGGGAAGGTAAGCCATGCAGTCTTAAACGTATGATTACCTTGCAATTGTTCGGCTGCCGCGGTCTCCAGTTTCTGACAACAGAAATTGAATTTTTTTTATCGATAACTTAAAAAAAACCTCATTCAAGGAAACTGTCTTAAAACTTTCTTTTTCACATAACTTTTTTTTCCTCATGCCGCGGTGACACTATGGCGACTCCTTTCATTGCATTAAAAGGAATATATTAAATTACAATTCCTAGATATCAACGAGTTTTTAACATTATTCATTCCGCAAATAGAGAAATAAGTATGTGCATGCACCATTACATTTTTGAGATGTTTTAGTGAGGAGATATTTTAGTACAGGTACTTTGTTATGCTCTGATTGTTGTATAAAATTAGTTTTTGTCATAAAAAACTATTTTAATGGCATTATTATGCATGCCCTCCTAATAATGCCGAGTGGATTTTCTCCCTCTTTACCAGAGTTAGAAAGAAAAGTTTATTTTTCTTTTAACAATTTTTTTTTGTGGGCTACTATAATACCCTGGTTCTACTACTTGCTGTGGTCTTCTAAAAGTTCCCGCTCCAAATTCATAATTGGACACTTACCATAAAAAAATGATCAGTTGGTTACCGTTATAAGCAATGTTGTTTTACTGCAAAGCTAATTAAAGAATAATAATCTTTATGATACTCCTGGCAGTATACTTTGGCTAACAATGTCATGCATTTTGGCCATACTACCAAGGGCGGATCCAGAACAGAGTAACTGGGGGGGGGGGGGGGGGGGGGGGAGGGGGGGGTTGGAACTCATTTCAAGCCAGGGGGCGCTCTTTCCCCCTTTCCTTATCTCTTTGGACATGCCTTTTTTGTTTACAAATCCATAACGGTAGAGGAACAGGGGAATGCAGGTTGTTCTGAGAAGGTGATGGAGAAGTCTCATCGGATGAAGATCAAAGCATCCTGACCGTATAACACCTCTGGTTCTTCGAGTAGTACCTTGTAGAATATACCTCCAAAAACCCATCCTCGTGGGAGTATGACTGGGTGCATACCTAGTACGTAGGACTATATAGAGACGTCCCCCCCCCCATCGGGTAGACCCGTATAACTGGAGTCTTGATGAGCGTTTTTGGCCTACGCTTCCATGATGTGACAAACCGTTATACAGTCTCGAATCAAGACTAGTTAGTTGGTGCATGTAGCTTGCTTAGTCAATTCCAGGGCATCGACCTCAACCTTAACTAATGCATGCAAGATGATCGTATATTATAAAGAACAGTTCGGGGAGTCGTAACGAATCTTTTCCCTAAACCTATAGTATATTTTCAACGTGGCCCTAAACAAATGTTATCGTTGACGACTTGGAATCGAGTTCATAATGCCCCCCTTTCCAACCCCCACACTACCTGCAGGAAGGAGTCATTATTCACTTCAAGTTACATGTACCTCCTCCGACAGTTGCATCCGACCCAATAGGAGCATTTCACAATGAAGGAGGGGGTGTCGTGCCACGTGGTGGGTGAATAGGTTACTTCATGTTTGAAGTTACCTTATTTTATACGCATATCAATGCTTATGACTGTTTTCCTTGGAGGATTGACGGTGGAACCGCATCACAGTTTGGGGAAAGAAACTTTCAATTAATCGGAAGTGATCATTTCGCATCCGCCCACGACTGCCGGTCGTTGAAGGGCTCTAGCCACGCCTACGTAAGTACGCCCGTTGCGCGCGCCGTATATTCTCAAACATAGTACTAGTAGCACCAAAAACAAGCTGATGTACAATTATATGTATATACGATGTGTTTGTACTAGATAGAGCAGCGAGGAAGGAACTAACGTCAAGGAACTTCTGTAAATTATCATTAAGAGGTTTTGATGTAGGCCTACCTTAGCATCTTGGTTTCTACTTTACCATTTGTATAGTGATTGGGATTTTTCTTTTCCGTTTGCAAATGCAGGCAGGAAATTAATGAGCCATCAACGTAAACAAAAACAGTTGATCATATAAATTAATCTTGTGCGGAAGTTCACAATTTCGAGGGAAGGGTGCGAAGGGAGTGAGTTTTCTTACACAATTTGGGATCGACATGGCATCTCGACAGAAGTGTAATAAAGAAGAATCCTTTTTTTTTTTTAGGGGGGGATATTTGGGGCTCGTTTTTTCCGAATAGGGGCATAATACCCGACCTCGGAGGAGGGGGCGTACCCCTCCCCCTCCCCCAGTCCCGCCACCGTCTGCACCTGGATAATCCCCTCCACGGCAGATCTCCTTCTTTGATAACATCTCTCAGGGAACAGTGTTCCGTAGTTTTGACGGATTCAATGCAAGACGCTTGGGTCATCGGATTCTCCTTTTTCCTTGAATTAAAACTATCCCAACGATAAATTTAGAGAAGAAAAATTGTACAGTGAAATCTCGGTAAACTCTGATAACTCAAAACAACTGTTAAGTCAAACAAGGAATCTATTGCTCTATGATATACAACCCTGCTTAACTCAAAACTCTGCTTAATTCAAATGTTGAACCTGTTCCCTTGATGTTGACTTATCAAAGTTTTATACTTTCACTGTAGATGAAAAATGGGAATTGGTGGATTCGAAGCCGGGATCTTTCGATTCATGATCATCTCACTACCCTGTAGGCTAATGTGATAGCGTTCGACACTGAGCGTGCTTTAAAATTCTTTAATGTGACAAATTAATAAGCAAGTAATAACAACAGAGTGGGACGTCAATGTTCTTTTCTTATGAATAAACATAAACTTTCCCATCGAAACCACTGAACACGGGTTCTCTAAGATAGTTCTCAAAGAAGCAAACATTGATCAGCCGCGCCGTCATATCACAGGTTTTCCATATTTGATGAAACTTTCGATGGCAATTAGCGGGCCGCAGTGGTGTTATCTGGATCAGATGTGAAGTGAGCACAATGTGACAATGAAAGGCTGTATACAAGTCTTTGTAAGAATGAGACCGTTTTGTTGGTTTTCTCAGAATTTTTCAGCAAGTT